AGCTTTCTAAAATGTCGAAAAATCAGAAATGTTCTTTAGGTACATTAAAAGTGCCAAGCGACCAAAAAGCAGTGAGCGGTTTCGAGGACAAGAATACCTGGTCCGTTCCAGAATGTCTTTCAAATTTTAAATTGGTTCTAAAGTGTTCTGTGAAGTTTTAAAATGTTCTTAAAGATTCCAATTTATCTCAAACAAATGCAGGAGAATTGAAAGTCTTGTTCTAACTTGGCGCTAGCGAATCAGAAATTTTCCAATTGTTCTCAATCCCTTTGTGGTTATCTCTTCTGCTCGAAAACGATAGAATTTATTACATAAAAATAGGCAAGTATATATCAAAATCAAAAACACAAATATCCGCCAAAAACATCAAAAATCCAATTCTCTATTCAAAATAATAAGGTGGAATGCGCAACTGTAGAGTGTAAGCTGGGCAATCAGAAAGCAATTATTGTTAGTGTTTATAGACCACCCTCTGGTGACATTGACACCTTTTTAAATAAAATCGAACGCATACTAGTAAGTATTTTTCATGAGAATAAGTCAGTTTTTATTGTAGGAGACTTTAACATAGAAATGATCTTGGAAAACAATGCAAAAACTAATTTGTGTTCGTTAATGGCGTCATTTAATCTGATCCCAACTGTTGTCGAAAATACCAGAGTATCAAAAAAATCTGCTAGCTGCATAGACAATATTTTTACCAACGCAGAGTATGAGAGGGCATTAACATGTGAACATTTTATATCAGATCATAGGGCACAGAGGATTTTGTTACAAATCAACACAAACCAAGAAAAGCATATTAAATATGCACGAATTTTCTCAAAAGAAAACAAGCAAAATTTTATGTGCTGCCTGAAATCTGAAAAGTGTGCAGAAGTATATGGAATTGAAAAAAGCGATGTAAATAAACAGTGGGACACCTTTATGCAAGTTTTCAAGCAGTATTTTGATCGGAATTTCCCATACAAAAAACTAGGCAATTATTCCAAATCAAAGGCTACACCAGTTAGTAATGAAGAGCTTAGAGAATGTAAAAGCAATTTAAATACTTATTTATCACTTTCCAGATATTTCCAATATTACAAAGAAGCATATAAAAATGAAAAAAGAAAATATGACAGATTGTTAGCCAATCTGCGCACTCATACATATGAAAATCGCGTAAAAAATGCAGACAATAAGACAAAATGTATGTGGGCAGTATGTAAGGAAATTAATGGAAAAAATAAGTCGCCAGATATTCAGGTTGAGGGAAGTTCTGATCAAATTGCATGTAGCTATAATGAATATTTATTATCTATAGTGCCCGATTTGTTGAAAAAACTAGTTTATTTTCTACTTTACTATTATAGATCCATAATACCTAGGAAACGAAATACGTTAACACACCTATAACAACCTGATCCATAACGCCCGCTTTTGCGGGCGTTATGATCTATAACGCCCGCTTATAATACCTTAAGGTGTTTTTGTTGTTGTTGTTCTATTAATTTGCACTTTACCCTAGGCAGCCACTAAATGTCTGACCGAAAATAATTTTCGGTCTAGCCAGGATTCGAACCCGGTCTACCATCAACGTTTCCCATGTAGTCCAGCGCGTTAACCCACAGGACCACCACCGTTACCTTGCCTTATGAGATGTTTCTAGATATATTAATGTATTTCGTTTCTATGTACAGGTCGCAGGTACAGGTACAGGTCACAGGTACAGGTACATGTCATAATACAAAACAATATTCTGTCACACAAGTTTAACTGATTTTGTTAATAACAAATTGATGAAAAAACATTGTGTCGAGTAGAAAATAAAGCATTGTATGCACCACGGGGATTTCAAGATTATAATGCCCTTCAGGCGAAATATATCCCTCGGGCCATAGGCCCTCGGGCTAGTTTCGCCTTCGGGCATTATAATCTACATAATCCCCTTGGTACATAAATAGCTATTATTTTCTACTTTACTATTATAGATCCATAATACCTAGGAAACGAAATACGTTAACACACCTATAACAACCTGATCCATAACGCCCGCTTTTGCGGGCGTTATGATCTATAACGCCCGCTTATAATACCTTAAGGTGTTTTTGTTTTTGTTGTTCTATTAATTTGCACTTTACCCTAGGCAGCCACTAAATGTCTGACCGAAAATAATTTTCGGTCTAGCCAGGATTCGAACCCGGTCTACCATCAACGTTTCCCATGTAGTCCAGCGCGTTAACCCACAGGACCACCACCGTTGCCTTGCCTTATGAGATGTTTATAAATATATCAATTTATTTCGTTTCTATGTACAGGTCGCAGGTACAGGTACAGGTCACAGGTACAGGTACATGTCAAAATACAAATCAATATTCTGTCACACAAGTTTAACTGATTTTGTTAATAATAAATTGATGAAAAAACATTGTGTTGAGTAGAAAATAAAGCATTGTATGCCCACGGGGATTTCAAGATTATAATGCCCTTCAGGCGAAATATATCCCTCGGGCCATAGGCCCTCGGGCTAGTTTCGCCTTCGGGCATTATAATCTACATAATCCCCTTGGTACATAAATAGCTATAATGTCCCTTTCAAATCTAGCATAAGTCAAAACACTAGATCTATGTTTTTAAAGCCAGTAACACCTGCAGAAATATGTGAAATTTCAAAAAAATTGAAAAACAAACATAGTTGTGGTGTAGATGATATTCCAATGAGTATTGTTAAGATGATAATGTGGGAGCTGAAGGATATAATATGTTATATAATAAATAACTCATTTGGATGTGGAGTGTTTCCGGATAGTTTAAAAATAGCACTTATTAAACCTTTATATAAGAAAGGAGACCCTGGAAAACTTGATAACTACAGACCAATCAGCTTGCTGCCCAGTTTCTCTAAGATTTTTGAAAGTGCAATGAGTATCAGACTTAAGGATTTTTTGACCGAATGTAATATCATTGCTGATTCCCAACATGGATTTATTAAAGGAAAATCAACACAAACAGCAATTTTTAATTTCATTCGATTAATATTAGAGTATCTCGAGGATGGGCAGTTGGCAATTGGGATGTTTCTAGATTTGTCAAAAGCATATGACTGCTTAGATAGGGACCTTCTTATAAATAAACTAGAAATGTATGGGGTTAGAGGTAATGCTAATAAATGGATTAAATCATATCTTACCAATAGAAAACAAATTGTAACAATTACTAAAGCAGGCAAAACTAGTAGGTCCGAAGTGCTAGTCAATAATATAGGGATAGCGCAAGGAAGCATTCTGGGTCCAATGCTTTTCATTATATTTATAAACGATATAACTCAATTAATCACAGCGCCAAATACCAATATCATAAATTATGCAGATGACACAAACCTTTTAATTGGCTGTAAAAAGATTGATGATTTGATTATGGGTGCAAACGATTTTCTTTCACAAGTTACGAATTGGTTTAATGAAAACAGATTAATTTTGAATCAAGAGAAAACTAATATTATAATTTTTAGAACAAAAAGATCAAACATAAGTAAGCCAAGCCAGTTACGAACTAATGACAAGAATTTAGATATTTCTGAAAACACAATGTTTTTAGGTGTCAATATCAATGAGTTTTTGGACTGGTCAGGGCATATAGACATTTTAATAAAAAAACTAAACTCAGTATGCTTTGGAATAAGAGTTGTTGCCAAATACATGAACGAGAAGACTCTTAGAATAATATATTTTGCCAATTTTGAGGCAGTGTTAAAGTATGGCATTATGTTTTGGGGAGGGGATATTAGAATACAGGATGTTTTTGTGGCTCAAAAACGTGTGGTTAGAGTTATTAAAAAAATGAAATATTTACAGAGTTGCAGGGGTGTATTTAGGGAGTTAAGTATAATGACTGTTTACGCCATATATATTTACGAATGTTTAATGTTTTATTTTAAAAATAGAGAACTGTTTTCTGATCACATTGAACATGGTTATAACACTCGAAATTTAGATGTTAGATATCCTATACATAGATTAACGTTAACAGAAAAATGTCCACACAACATGTGCCTTAGATTGTATAATAAACTTCCTGATAGTGTCAAGAGAATTGAACAACAGAAACTCTTCAAGAAAGAAGTGAAGAGACTCTTAATAGACTTGGAGCCCTATAATTTAATAGACTTTTATAATGGTGTTTAGAAAGCTAGATATAATTTCTTTTTTGTTTGACGACGTTTCACTTTGTGTTACCATGTAAACAATGTTGAAATAAATAAATAAATAAATAAATAAATAAATAAATAAATAATATAATTAGCTGGATTTTTGCTAACCCTACCTAAGAATGGATGAATTACAATTACAATAAGTGATAGTGATAAAATAATATAATAGGTATACAGGCAAATTTCTTGGAAGAAGAAAAAAGAAAATCATTGGGTTTAAGGTAAAGATAATCCCGAGGATAATCCTCTTTCATTTAGGTGGGTATCTACTCATCCAAAACTCTACTAAATGCTGTATCAAATTATGATAAATAAATTCTTTTGATATTTTTGCTAAGGTTCTATATTTTTGATTCTCCAGATCTTCATTGAAATTTATTGAAAGCTTTAGGGACATTATAAATAGAGAATCTATAGAAAATATATTTGGGAGTTGACAAAAACTCATTAGATGTACGAGTCTGATCCACAGAGTAACATTGAATTTGAGTAGGGAGATTTTTGAATGCATGGATATATAATATATGAAAATATAAGGGAGTCACAAAATATGAGGACACTTGGGGGAAAAGAAAATAATGTGAAAGGTGCGAATATTACATACCTCCTCTGAATACAGCCGACTAGTAGTATACCTTCTTTGTTTTCTATAAGTTAATTTCAATGTAGTTATGAATTACATTTAGCTTTTGCAGTATGTTACATACATTGTGATTTTGTATTTTGAAGTAATCGTCACCAGTAATGAAGCAGCAATAAAGCTATAAGTTGTGAAAAAAGCTCTAGATAAATATAAGGATTTACTTACTGTTAACTTTATTACTTTGAATAAACAAAAATAGGGATCCCACTATAACGAAAATAAACAAAACAATTAGCCATGATCTATAGATTCTGGTGGGATATCCATTGCGCCTTTTATAAGCTATTTTTTATAGATATCCTATACAACTGGAAAATCACACTTCAGCTAGCTCCCCTTGTATAGTACTTCTGGATGCAAACTGGCGAATATCACTATTTGTTATCATGATAATTTACAGCTTAGATTAGATAAAATTGATATACAAAAGCCTTTAATTCGACCATAAATTGATAATGATGTGTTATTGTGGATTATTTAATTTTAATTCAAATAAAATCAGCCCTTTGTAGGCAATGATTTATTTAGGCGATTTCGGCAAGCTTTGGTTGGTATACCATTTGGTTAACCAATTGGTACCTGCAACGTCATAGTAATGACGTAAGATACCATTTTGTTCCGAATTCGTTTGGTAGGTCATAGGAGAGGGGAAGAGACGAGCCTTAACCTAACTTTGTGTTGTTCTTCTAGTTTTGGGAGTGACTAGGTACTAACTGCACTGACTAAAATGTATAATCACTAATCAGCACTGTCTAGACAGTACCTTTGAGTAACTCAGCGTTTTCTGTAAATTTAAAGCTGTTAAAGTTACCTCATATCTGTCGTTCAGAGCCGTTTTTCAAATGATCGTCAAACATTATTTGGCAGTCAAAACATACGAGAAATCAGGAAGATGAAGGCGAAAAAACAAACATATTTGTTAAAAATTTCAAATTATTCAAATTCTAATGAACTTCCATTTATTTACATTTTCCAGAGCAGGACAAAACGAAAATAGACGTAGATAGCACTATACCAAATAGAAGAACCGTGCTGCTGACCACGGTATCCTATTTGACAGACCAAAAAGGATACCAAAGTCACGGTGACGACATCATTTTCGTATCCGAAATTGGTTGGTATGCATTTGACAGACCAAACAGGGTACCAAACCATGTACCAAAGCTTGCCGAAATCGCCTTTTATGTAGAAGGCGTAAAAAAATTGAGGTTAGGTTAAATTTTCATTGTTAAGTTTGACAGTTTATTTCGATTTTGACACCACTTTTCATGCTCCACTAGTTCCGGTTTTGTTTTCGGAGTAAACGGAGTAAGATTTTTTCGTTCGGGCATAAAGTTAGAGCTGTCCTGTCACTCCTGTCGTCCTGTCAAAAAAAGTAAACAGAAAAAGAAAAATTGAAATTCAAAAACAAAAACATTCATCTCAACGTTTTTTACGAATCTGTTTAAAATAGTGTGTTTACTTCTTCGATTATTTTCCATTTAATAGAGCCGTTTCTGAGGAGATAGCAACGTTGTACTTGTAGCATAAGGTGGTAGGTAAGTCTTTCCTTAAAATGAAATTATTTAACTGGGGCTGATTGGGACCCTTTGAGGTTGAACATTCAACTTAAAAGAAGTACTCATTGAAGTCAATGGGTGGTATGAATAAAAACACAGTATCTGTTACTACTACAAGTATTAGCGTATTCTCCATAGTATTTACTTCAAAATGAAGTGGATACTTACCTCGGTAGATACTACATTTCGAAACTACCAGAAATTAGTAAATCCTTCTTTGTGAAGTAAATACTTCGTAGTAGAGGTCGAGAACTATCGATAGTCTATCGATAGTTATCGATAGTTTGGACTATCGAAAATTATCGATGGTATTTCTTGTAATATCGATAGTTTCGATAGTTGCATGTTATGAAACTTAGACAAGGAAAGAGAGAAGACGAATAACACGATATCGGAATGAAAACAAAGAAAGAGACGAAATTTTTGTTGCTCCGGTTCCACCAATCGAAATCACCATACGGTCAGATGTCCAGTGTAAATTGGAAGTGGAACCCATCGATCATCGATCCAGAATAAAGGCGGCCAATATTAATATGCTAACATTTTTACATAAAAATGTGAATTTTTAATACAATTAGGTATAATCAAATAAGTTTAAAATTTAAAAATAAAGTTTTTTACAGTGAAAGAATTTATCTTCATGTCTATTTCAGCATTTTGAAACTATCGAAAACTATCGATAATTATCGATGGTTTCTTGCCGACTATCGATAAATATCGATGGCGCCTACTATCGATAGTTCTCGACCTCTACTTCGTAGAATACCTATACTACTACTTGTAGTAGTAGCAAGTACTTCGATTTTATTCATACAACCCAAAATCATTATTCTCTTTGTCAAATCAGCATTTTTTTCCTAAGTAATTTCTCAAATCTTTTTTTTTTTTCTTATACCTATTTGGCCTACAAGACTTGGTATATAGGATACCTCATCTTATGTCTGAATTTATTATTCCTAAAGCAAAATGATAATTTTTCAGAAACATGGAAACGTCAAGATATGAATTTAAAGACATCGAAAAAAGAGTCCACTCAGCGCTACACGAAAACCTAACACTCCTATCAGCATTCTACCCACCAACAAAAGAATTTAAGCTAGTATTCAAAAAAGACATGTTTACTAGAAACAACAGAGCTGGTTTTTTCGAAGTAATTTACTACCTTTTAAACACTCTGAATCCTGAACTGACCGCTGAGAAATTATTGAGTTGGCCAATCAGAGAATTGAAATCTGAGCCTAAATTTCGAGCTGAAGTTGTAGCTTACGTAAACGTTCTCAATTCGCTTTACGAAAATGCAAATATTCCTACTTGTCAACCTTCTAGTCTAATATCTCCAGGAGGATATAGGTTTGCCAAGTTTATGCTGAAAATTTCTCAGCTTGTAGTTTATGAGCATCTGAAAAAAACTTGTATCAGTTTGCATTCCCATATTAAGCCCCATAAAAATATCAATTTAGGCACTGACAAGGAATTAAACAAAGTTACTAAAGCTATAGAAAAAGAAACAAATAATTTGATGGAAAATTTTAATAAATACCATGCAGAATGTGTTAATAAAAGCACAGAATTAATTGAACGAATGGAAAAATTAAATAGAGAAATACAAAAATCTAGAGAAACCTTAGAAGACATTAGGGCAGATTTGAATGAACAATATCCAATAACTATGTCAATAAACACTGTAAAAGAAAAAATAATAGAATTAAAAAGACAAATTAATGAAGTGCAAGAAATGAATAATTTATTTGTCTCTGGGGAACAATTGATGAAGTATCTTAGTGATCCCAGTATGAATGTCGAACATCAGGAAGAAAAATTTAATGTACCAGAAGATGTTGCTCACATAATAACTAATACAGAAAATCTGAATTTATGTGAATTTTTCGAAGGTAGAGGTTTTGTTTTTAAAATTCAAATTTTGAATTATTGAAGTATTTTTTTAGCGCTCAAGGTGTTTCTAGAAACGAAGGCGTTGCAATTGCAAAGTCCAACCGACTGTTGTATGCAGCAAACTAAAGAAGCTTTAGAAATTTATTCTATGAGAAATCAGGAAACTTTGAATCAGCTTGAAGTACAGCAAGCTAAAATTCGTAATATTCAGAATAAGCTTAGAGCTTTGATTTTGTAGTTCTTTTTTTCTTATTTTGATTCAGATCAAAAATTTTCTGAAATATATTTTTTGTAATTCTTATATCGGGTCTTTTTATTATTAATATTTACATCAAAAGTATTTATTATCAATGGATGCTACAGAAAATTACTTTTGTACCTACAGTGTGTCCTGCTTAAGGACTGACCACCCTTCTAAAATTTTTATTTTTCAACCGATTCAATTCATTTTTTTTTTTCGTCTTATATCTACTCGAATTTGGCACTTATTTGGCTCATAATTTTATTTCTGCGGCTGTACTGATGTATGTACAGGGTGTCCACATTTATAGGCTCAAATTTCAACAAGTGCTATTAGGCATTTTTTCAGAAAAAATCTGATAGCAGATTCTGGTTTAGAATGGTCTAAAACCCAAATGTACTAATTTTTGTTCCCATTTCATACAGGGTGATCACAACAAATTTTCAAAATTTAATGGACCAAACCGGAAAAATGTCATATTCTGAGGCCTTGAGAACAACAAAACTTGATACAACATATTTTTAGAATATCCTTAACCAAAATTTGTAGTAAGCTTGTCTCAAAATATAACATTTTTGCGGTTTGATTCATTAAATTGTGAATTTTTTTTTGTTATCACCTTGTATTGTACAAGGGCAGTTTAAAAGGGGGGTAGAGGGGGTTATTACCCCCCCAGACAAAGATTTTTTTAAATACATTTATTAATTACAACAAAATTTCAACAAAAGACAAGTCCTACAAAGTAAAGGCATCGTATGAATATGATAGGCTCACCAGTACCGACGTACCTACTAAAGTTCCTAAAGTTCATAGGTTGTCTGGTAATGGGTAGCTTGATGACGCATCTGGGGGCCTTATGCAGCATTGCATTATATTGAGGCACCTCAGATGACGTCATAAAGTTATCAGGCAACCTACCTCTCTCAAACAACCTTGCGTACTTACTACTATACAGTGCTATGGTTGTTTGAAATGTCTGGTCTTGTGTACAGTATTGCGAACACCCTGTAGTAGAACAAATTTTCATAGGACCATGAAGTAAATTTAAGTAAAGTCCGTCGTTTCTAAACTGACACTTTTCGTATGAGGAGCGAGGGGGTATTTCATATGGCAAAAATAGGTGTGACATCAGGTAATCATTGGCGTTCTAATGTAGGGAGCCACCAGCTAAAATTCTGTTGGAGTATCAGATTAAAATCGACAGACATTATGCACTAACAACCTGTAAAAGCTTTAGCTTATAGGATCTCCATTGGATGAAATATGCTGGTTTTAGTTGACACATGCATGCTGCGATTTTTTGAAAAAATATTAAATATTTTGAAAACGGTTGAGTTTTGGTATAGATGATTCCTAACAAAAAGTATGTAGGATTTTTAGAACGATAGAATATACTATATATAGTGTAGGGTGTTCCATTTTAAAATAACAAAGTTCTTTCGCATACCCCATTTACAGAGCATCCTGTATATTTAAAAATAATTTTAAGTAATGGTCCTTAGGGAATCAAACAACTTTGAATTTATATATTTTTTTCTTGCATCACCCTGTAAGAAGATATCGTCCGATATCGCACTAAGTGGTCACCCTGTATAGCTGTTTTGAGGGCATCGGGATACATTTTTGCCCCAAGCTTGTTTTTTAAATGACTTTCGGATGCAAATTTGGGCGTGGCACCTCAAACGTACGTTCCGACACTTGATGATTTTCCCGTCCACCATTCCCCCCCCCCCCACCCCCCTTGAAAATCAAGTATGGACCGCCACTGGTATCGTATTGAAAAAAAAAATGAGTTCATTTGGGTTTTAGACCATTCTAAACAAGAATCTGCAATCAGATTTTTTCTAAAAAAATCTCTAAATATAGTTCTTATTAGAAATTTGAGCATATAAATGTGGACACCCTGTACACCACTGTTCCCTGCAAATCGGGGGCTACTAAACACCGGAACATGGATCATATCAAGTGATGAGGATAGTGAAGAGGACTGTGACGTTGCAGGCTGCCACCCCTTTTCATACAAAGGAATAATGGAGGCAACAGGGAACTAAAATGTGGCGTTTTTGACACAAAATTCTAGGCTGCCCTATCTTACTCCTCCTCTAAAGAAAGTGCGGGTTGAACATGTACTAAACAGTTGGTACAAACTGCAATTCACAAACGAACGCTCGTCAGTTCATTGCCATAACACAAACGAACGCCCCAAAACAGGAAGTGCTGTTCCGAACAACACAAACAAATAAACCTCTATTTTTATTAACTTTAGGAACCTTGGGTCCTACAGACAAAAAATCGCGTGGTGTGTGGTAAAAACAGGCTGACGATGAAGCACGACGTTGTTAAACACAACGATGAAAACCGTCGAGAAAGATCGTCCGTCGTTTTTAATCTGACACTTTCCGTATGAGAAACGAGTGGGTGAAGCATATAGCAAAAACAGGTGTGACGTCAGGTGACCATTGACGTTCTAATGTAGTAGTGGGTGCCACCACTTAACATTCCTTTGGAGTATCAGATTAAAATCGACGGACTTTAGTGTGTGGGGCCCTTTACGTAGGGTACTTGCAAATATAATACACACTACTAAGGATTGCTTATCGGCCTCGTTTTTGGTAATCGCCGTCATATTGGTGTGTCACCATTTCCGACGTCATAACTAAGTTATCAGGTGTTTGCACTAGCGGTCGTAGTTTAGAATTTAAGTGTATGAAAAAAATTAAAAATTATTATTTAATTTTGATTAACATGACAGGCAAAGAGGAAGATGAAAACGAGATCTACATGTTTTAAAATCTTAATTAATGTAGTAAAACTAAGTAGGTATGCATAAAGCAAAAGCCCGCGGAATCATAACGTGTAGTACAAACAGCCTACCATCAAGACGAGAAACGATATGCTGCCTACGTTAAAAACTAACGATTTGGCCTGGCGGAGGGCTTTAGATTTGTTCCACACAGGCCTTATGAGGATAGGCTATCCTGTAGTAGTAGTGTATATTATCCTCAGACCATATAACACAGTGTGTTATATGGTCTAAGATATATCCTTGGGGTGCTCCACTCTGAAAATGTCTGCTTTTAGGAGGGTGTCAAGATTATTTATGGGGGCCAGTTACGAGTTAATCGTTCAATTACTATCTCTGTTCGGTGGCCCGACTATACAACCGCTGGCGCAAATCGCCAACAACACCGTTGATGGCGTCAACAACGGTTCAACACCAGAGCCGCTTTCGGGTGCTACCCCGAAGTACTCTTGCTACAGTTTGACCCGATCGGGTGGACAGAGTTTGGCGCTCTCAAGCTGCTCTCATTTCCTCGCCTCTTACCCCTGAAGCACAACCATTTTATGATTGCGCCACGCTCCGTGCAATACGGTTTCAAGCATTCGGGTGCAAAACGCTTGGAGTATATCAGGTGTGTTCTAGGAGCTTCGTAGTCTGTACCTGAAAGCGGCTCTGATGAACTTAACTTGATTCCAGGAATAGAGGCCGATGAGCAATCCTGTAGTAGTGTGTAATATCTAGGTGTAGTCTAGCCGAGTTCAGAACTGCGCGCTTTCCAACGCTCTGTTTTTAGAGTAATTTTATATTTATTACGACACGACCAAACAGCAAACTTTATTCATGAAATCTTGGAACCGGAAAATACCGGTAAGAACCGATTGATATATCGGTTCCGGTTCCGCCTGCCTTACATATTTCTATGAAATATGGGTTGCGTTCCAGTCCGCAAAAAAAAACGGTTCCTTTCCGGTTCTCGTTCCGGTCCGGGTCCCTGCTATAAAATAGCACAGCCAAATACTCAGGTGCTTTCCAGTGACTCATTTGAGCTACTCCTGAGCAGCTCAGGAGTGCTCCACAATTGCTTTGCGCGTTCCAGTGCTTAGAGTGTCGTACACTTGAGCTACTCATTTCTGTTATCCCCTGCCCCCTCGTGCACCAACCCTTTTGTCTGTGTTTCATGCTCCTGAAATCCGAAATGGTGGGGGTTAAGACGAGAGCGTTCCAGTGCCGCTTATGTCGAGCAGTTCAAGAGCGTCACACTTCAAGAGCATGATACTCTAACAATTTAGGCACTGGAAAGCGGCTTTTATTTTTGACAGTTGGTGAAAGATGCAATTTTAGGTTATGTGTTTGTATTTGTTTACATGTTTGCTGATGGTTAGATGGTTTGTGAATTTTGGAATTTTCAATAGTTTTTAAAGAAAAAATATAGGATTGAAAGAAGCGCCCAGCTATGAGCAAGCCTGAGAAAAATCCCAGACTAAAAAGGTATCGAACGTTAAATTTCAAATCGATACTCAATTAATTAATTTTTCAATAAAATACTGGGTTGGCAAAAAATCTGGTTAATTGTATTATAGTGGCTAGAACGTTCCAGCGCTTCAAAATCATTAGGGAACCAATTGAAAACTCTGGAAGGCATTTTGAAAAACTTCAGAATGCGTTAGCGCCAAGTTAGAACATTTTTAAGCATTTTAAGAGGCTCCAGAGCAATTTAGAATTTTGATAAGCTTCAAAAGAGATTCAATTCAATTTTCAATCCTCCTACACTTGTTTGAGACAAATTGGAATATTTAAAAACATTGTAAAACATTACAGAACACTCTAAAACCAATTTAGAATTTCAGAAACATTCTAGACTAGAACACTTCTGATTTTCGGCAACATTTTAGAAAGCTTTTGAAACATCCTGTGGAACTTTTGGAAACAATCTATAACTGCAAACTTTCAGGATATCTTGAAAATTGTCATATGACACTTTAGAATTAACTTGAAACTTCCATGAACATATTAGAACACTTTACACACATCTGAATTTATTTAGAATTTCAATTAGAAGTATTAAAAAGTGGAGCAAAAAGTGCTTAAGAATATTTGGGAGATTTCTAATAACTTCTCAAGAGCATCAAGTAAGCAACCAATTGAAAACATTTTGAAAAGCTTCAGAATGTGCTCGTGCCAATTTGGAAAGTTGTTAAGCATTTTGAGACACTCTAGAGCACTTTAGAATAAATTTAGAACATCAGGAACATCGTAAAACGCTACAGAACATTTCAAGAAAGCTTGAGATACTTTAAAGTTTAGGTTTTGATCCAAGTTAAAATTTCCAGGAGTAGGTACTTATTTTGGAACGCTCTACAACACTTAACAAATCATTTGGAATTTTTGAAAACAATCTACTTAGAACTAGAAACTTCCAGAATGTCTTGAAAATCCTCACATGGCACTGAGGGGTAAACCACTGTAAAAAATGTGTACACTAATTCCCAATATGGTAACTAATTCCTCTAATTCCCCCAATTTCCTTCTAATTTCCCTAATATTTCTAATTCTTGAACTAATTCCCTTAATTTTACTAATTCCTAAACTAATTCACCAAGTAATTCACCAAATCTATCACATAAATTTGACCACAAAATGTGTAAAATTAATCAAGAAAATCTAGATGTTTGCAGTATTATTACATGCTCAAAATAAAGAAGTCAGTAAAAAAGCTGCGACAAATTTTTAAAAAAATGTTTACTTGGGTAGCTTTTGTTTAGTCGAAGGTATAGGTAGTCCTTTTCTCGGTCCTTTTTAGTTTTCATAGTAGTTAAGGTCGGAATTTTTGGAAGGTGATTTCTTCACAGTTTTCCGACGTGTTTTCCTTGTACTGCCTATCAATCTTTTTAATTGGTCAGTACTTACTCTACCGTTAGACTAATCTAAAGGCCAGCAGCACAATGACTTTTTCATGATTGAAGAATTTTTACCAACAATGTTTAAGTTTACACAACTTGTTTCCAAAGTATCATTCGCGATCTTCATGATCCAAGAAATTCTTTTTTCAAATTAGGTCCATGACTATATCACCCTCATTACTTACTAATAATATTTGTGTTTGCCACATCTTGGTCATTTTCATTTTCTTCGGGGTTTTCGTCAACTTTAACCTTGTCTTCGTCGATGTCTCGCTTTGTTTTTCATTGAGACCGAGCGAGAGACCGAATTGTCTCATATCCTCTATGACATTTTGTTTTTTCAATTGGAGCTTTTATATCCAAATTGAGAATTTCTTCTTTACATGTTGACTTTTTTTTGGCATATCTGTGGTGTCTTGTTCATATCATTCTACATTTTTTCAATGCTGCAGTTGTACCACTCCCATTATCTGGAACTGGCAAAGAATGGAGTAGCTCAATATCTTCTGGGATTGTTTTGTTTTTTTCTTTTTTTTCAGAAGCTAAACGAGACATCAAATCAGTATTTAGGCGCATATCTCTTAATATCTCCGTCTGGGGAAAATCCCAGAATTGATTGTGATGCCAAATTTCTTAGTTTCCTCCCCCATCCATTCCCATAGCAAGAGACCTGCTCAGTAGTAAATGAATTATCAGTTCCGAATAAGAATAGGTAATATGTCGATACCTCAGCATGTAACGGTTGAGCCATTATTACATAGGCATATACTGCTTGTACTCTAGTTTGAATATATGCCTTGATTGCTTCAGCAGAAGTGACGGGAAATGGGAAACATACCTTGTGGATGCAGGCCATGAAATGAAAAGGAAATGAAATATATCTTTATCAAGTAGGTTGGTACACCTAATACACAAAAATACAATGTAAGAAGAAATGCCTATTAGACATACCCTTCATCATCATCTACAAAATACAAGTAAAAACCTTACAAAGATAGCTGCACATTACTGTGGTTCACCCACTCATATCAAGGTGGTAAATGCAATAGAAGTTTAATTAATCTTTAGCCTAAATGTAATCCCTCAGCCCATCTTTGAAACGCTGAACTAAAGGAAGGCCCTTGATATCATTTGGAAGATTGTTCAATTCCTGAAAGCCCTTTAAAAACAATGAGTTCATTGTACTCTTAAAATTCGTTCTTGGAATAAAGAGATGATCATTATTCCTTGTAGGGTAATCATGGATATCCCTATTAAAAACATAAAAACAACAAACTGTTATTAAGGTGGTGCTAACTTATTTAGAATTTTATATACAAATATTTCCTAATGGTAGAAGAGATCCTATCACATTATAAGATTTTGCTGTCATATTCTATTTTGCCTGCTACACAAGTGCCATCCCTGGATATCCATTCATTCATTCAATTCATTTATTTATGCCAAAATACAGTACAAACCTTAATACAAAGCAGAGTAAATAAAAATCCAAATAATTTTTATTAAACCTCAATCAATTAAAGTGTTTCACTAGGCCTTTGAAATCAAGTCCTCCTTCTCGTACTGTGGAGCCTCATTTTCATTATCCAGAAATCTATTCAGCGTAGAAATTGAAGGTAAACTATTCTTCTACTTTGCTTTTAGAGTTTTTTTCAACCTGCCCCCAATATAAAACAGGTATACTGCGTTTTTTTTTTGTAGCATCATCGTATCTGTTTCGATTGTTTGAGCTATTAGTAGAATTTTTGAGTAATTGAGGTATATTGGCATATAATTTTTAATACCTATTTGGAAGTACCAGTCGTTTTAGTGATTTGTGATTGGTTGGTAATTTTTTGTTTGATCTGAATCATGATTGATAAACAAGGATGGGGTTACTCCAAGTAGATATTAAAATACTATATATCAGGGACTCATCAGTATTTTGAAAAGTTTCGATTTCACTTATGTTCTCCAAAAGTTCCTTAGCTCGAATGGAATACCGTACATTTATACAGTTAGTTCGAGCAGTTGTATATTTTTACCTGGATTTTTACGGAAAAAGGGTTTATTCTTGGAAGAGAACATTTATCTGTTCTGTCCAGGTTTGAAAAAGGAAAGTTCCACCGATGAAATCCATCTATGTTTCATTGATGAGAATAAAAACAGCCAAATAGAAGTACGGTTGCATACACTGGACATAGACAAAATCTTTTATGCCATGCGACGTTGCATGATCTACTGATTTGCTTCCAGTTTCATTCTATAATTCCCTCTTGTTTCCACTATTCTCATACTAATTCTCCGAATTTCTCGAATAATTCTTCGAATTTCCCGACTAATTCCCCAAATTTCCCGTTTAATTACGTAATTCCCGAATAATTTCTCTAATTCCCCAATAATTCCTCTAATTCCCTACTAATTTCTCTAATTTCTAACTAATTCCTGAAGACTGTACACCAAAATTTCCCTACGGTTTACCCCTCACATGGCACTTTAGAACTAACTTAAAACATTAATGAACATATTAGAATATTCTAGAACATGTTCAGACTTCAGACATTAGAATTTCAATTAGAAGTATCAAAGAGCTCTTAAGAATATTTGGGAAATTTATGATAGCTTTTAGAACATACCAGGTTCTGTGCATTCCGACGCGTCAAGAGCATTAGTTATGGGTTATACAAATTCTGATGGGATTTTTCTATGGATATTTGTGTAAATTTATATGGAAATATCCACACCAAAAATCCATCCAAAAACCAGAGAGAAGAGAAAATTGTTTGCCAACCCTAATAAAATAATAAATAATATTCGATTCTTGAAACTAAGTAATTTATTTCAGTAAAACTCGTGCTTGGGAACAAGGAAGACGTGACCGTCTCGCCGTACTTTTTAGCAAATTATGGGAAGCCCTCCCAAATTACGATCCTTCTAATAAACTATCGAAACCTGATATATTAATGACTGCCGAATCAACCATTAGGCGCCTCGATGCTGAACTTAAATCAGTTCTAGTAACTGGCCAGAATAAAGCAGAAACTAAATCTTCAGCAACTAAGGAAAAAGCATACTCAATATTAATCAAAAAATTAGAAGATCGCGTAAAGAAACTTCTTTTGAGAAATGAACAACTTAGTAAGTGTCTTAGTAAAGCTGGTATTAAGGCCAAATCAGAATCTGGGACTGCTAAAAGGAATAAAAAACCTCCTAAGTATGCCAATGCCATTAGTGGAGAGCAACAGGCAGAATTTCTACAAAAAGAATTGGAAAGTGAGTAGTGTAACTCAACACCTAATTTATTGTTTTAAAATAATTGATATCGCCTAGTTTGCTTCTGAGTTATTCAGTATATCATTTTTATTTTAGAAGAGAATCAAGCAAAAGTTCAAAAACCAAAAAGAAAAGGAACTACTCTCAAACAAAGAAAAGTGTCTGAAAAACCAAAAATTAAAAAGACAAAGAAAAAGTTGCTTTCATCGTCAAACTGTGTCTTTTTGGTGACACAAGCAATGACTCAAAATAGTTCCTGTTTTATTTTATCCAAGCCTAGTTCCAAGATCAGCCCAACAGGTAATGTATATGATTATTTCAGGTTTTCATTCTAATCTCTCTTTTTCAGTAATAACAAACTCACTATTAGTCAAAACTCCAATAGTATCCTCAAACATAAAACCTTCAATTTTCCCAACATACCCCCAACTACCTTCTTTAGGACCCGGTACTTTACTGTTTGCAAATGGCACTATGATGCCCATAGTACCAACCCCACGACCCCTTCCTGTATTACCAACGATCGTTGCCAATCCGATTTCTAGTCAAATACCAACTTTAGTTGTAGTAACTTCAAAAGATACTATAAATTCCTCAGTAAATACAATAGTAACTTCTACAAAACCTTGTAATAGTCTACCAGTTTTGAGACCAAAATTGGTTAATAACACAAAGACTATACAAGCAAATAAAGTTCCTATACCAGCTTTAACATCAAAAATCGTTTGTAGAAAGGCTGAGGTTTTGGATAGTCAAAAAAAAGTATCTGAAACAACAGTACAAAATAATCATAAAAAACTTAAAACTAGTAAGAAAATTGAGAAAACAAGCAATGAAACTCAAAAATTAGACACTCAAAAGAACCCTGATAAAAATATCCCAGAGGTCACACAAGAAACTAGTTCCAATAATAAAGATGCTTGCGAAATTCCAGCTGTAGAAGCATCCACAAGCTTTTGTGCTACTAATGATAATCGTTGTAAAGATATTTTGAAGCCTGAAAGCTCTAAAATTGACCACCAAGAAAAAACTACAGCTGATAGCACTGAAAAGACTGACTATCAATTAGAAACTTTTGCTAATGTTGTCACAAAAGTTGCCAATAATTCAGTTGCATCTTCAAAACCAACTGACATAAATTCAATATTTTCTGAAACTTGTGTTAATTCTTCTATCAGTAATAATAATGACACAAATCCAAAAAACGTTCAGATACCGGAAACTTCTCATACACAGACACAATCTTTTGCAAAACAGAAAACATTCGAGCACAATACAAATTTACAAAACGATTTAAAATCATTAGAAATGACCGAATTATCCAATGATATTTTTGCCTCGTTTCAAGTGGCACCTGGTTGTCAAAATCCTGAATCCACCTCACCAACAGCAGCCTTTTTACTTGCTTTTCCTTTGGTTTCTTCAGGAGCAAAAGTTACCGAGGTTTTAGGGGATGAAAATTTGGAAAGTCAGGCTGGAACTCCGAATTTGCTGCAAATTGGTACAATGGATATTTCTAAACCCACTCAGAATTATTCCGAAAGCTTTACACCAAATTTATTAAATTTTGATAGTTTTAATTTTAATAATTGTGGGAATTTTTATAATAATAATTGTAGCCAACAAAGTGCTGTGACTACATCAACTAAAACTTTTGTTAATAATAGCAACATTAACGTAAATTCTAGTAAAAATGAAACATTGACGAATACTCAATTTAATCAAAACGATATTGGTAAAACTAAACCTTCAATAAATAAAACTGGTTCTACAATTACTAACAATTATCATACAAAAGAACTACCATTAAACATAAATTTGAATAAAAATATTCCGGTTTCTTCGGTACAAACAAACCTGCATAATAATTTGGACTTAAACAATGATATTTTCTCTTTTAAGCCAAACAATGAAAATTTCATGAACTCCAATAAGCATTCTTCAACAATAAAACCCTATAACAATATTCCCACTTACTCTACATACAAGACCTGCAGCTCAAATCAATTTATGCCAAATAAAAATTACCCTCTTGTGTATACTAGTGCTTCAATTAGCAACAGCTTTTATAGTTCCTTCACTACTTCAGACACTGTTGCTGGAAATTTTAATTCCACAAATTACAACAATTACATACAGTATGGAAAAACTAATCATTACAACTCGAATAATTCGCAAACATATCAGAAAAATAAATTTAAGGCTACCACTCAAAGTAAACCAATAAATTGGATGACTAGTCCTGCAGTTACTACATCATCATATAAACCAGATTATTTCTTGCCTCCTTTTACCAATAGTTCAAATGCTTATTTAAACTCTGGTTGTAATGAGCAACAAGATTTTAATAGAAAAACTTCAGAAATATTTCCAACATATCGAAACGATACTGAAGAAAATCAATTTTCTTGGTCTCCAAATAAAATCCCACAATTTTTAGATACCGCAAACCATAATAATTCATTTGTCTCTTCCACCTTGCCAACTTTAGTAGGGGATTTAGCACTCAATAATACACCATCTAAAGAAAAAACCAGAAAAAAATCTACCAACTGTGATAATAATCAAACTAGTTTTTTGTCTGTTAGCCAATTAGTAGAACAAAGCCAGGAAAATGCGCCTGCAAAAATTGTATCTAGACGCACTAGTGGTAATAGGTCAAAAACCAATACCCCAAAAACTAATAAAAGAAGATTGGAGACTACCAACAAAGAAATTCAACAGCAAAATAATTTCAATATTTCTGTAGCAACAAACTTATTTAATGAAAACAACAAAAGAACCAATAAAAACATTCCTAGCAGTTATTCGGCTGAAGCTTTGATAGGAAACAATCAGAATCCAAATAATGAAAAACGCAGTAACTTCTGTCATCAAAATAAAAGCTTGGTTCCAGGATTTTTCAATGACAATATCGTCCCTTACTTTCCTCCTGTCGATACCCAACAGGATAATAGTTACATGCAAAGCTATCAGCCAACTTACCAGAACAATAGCTATTCTGCAAACAATTTTAGCGCGTCTTCATATAATTTTATGCCTAATAATCAGGAATTTATTGGGGAAAATATGTTTCAAAACGGTAATAATAAATGTAATTTTACTCAAAAAAACATTGATAAAACTCAAAGCTATAGCTGTAAGAAAGCGAAAAAACGGCCTTTGAACGATAACGTTCTGCCCTCGTTTGATATTCACTTTTTGTCGATGCCTGGTGCAATAAATTCTCCAATTTTACCTGACGATTTTCATACAACTTACCTTCCTCCAACTACCTTGTATTCCTGCAAAAATCCTTTGTATCCTAAAAAAACCAATACGGAAGGGCTCTCTGGCAGTTTAATACCGCCTTTGCCAGCAATCAGTAATAAGCCTGTGATCGGTCCTCAAATGTCACCTTTGATTAATTCAGCAGGAACCTCACTGACAAACTTTAATTTGAGTACGATATTTCCAGAAATTAATAAGGTAATTAAAAAAGAAGAAATGCAGGAGGTTTGATTTGTGTCTGTTTCAGGAAAGCAACCAGTTTTTTCCTTTGAAAAATGGTGTATCCAGTGAGAAAATTGAAAAAACGCAAAATAATTATTCCAGTATTTGCACTGGTCAGCAGTATACTACATAAAAGCTTTAATATAAGATGTTAATCTGGAAATGGGGTTTCCAATTCTAGTTTTTGAATGGTGGATTTGGAAAAGTAGCATTAAATTGCTGAAAATGGCTTGTTGCTATTGGTAATTGATTTGGACAGCATCTTAATTTCGAAGAGGTAAATTTATGGTAAGTTTTTAAAAAATGATTGCTCATGTAATGACTCACCTAAGATGAGTTCGGTTACTTAGAATAGTTATTTATGTATCAAGGGAATTATGCAGGTGTTAATACCCCAGGGCAACGTTTGTGTCCCGAGGGCCTCCGGCCCGAGGGACACCAATTGCCCGTGGGTATTAACTCCTGATAATTCCCGTGGTACATAGATAATTTTATATCCTACTGAATTTACTGTATTCTGTCTATTTTTATAAAGGAATAAGCCATAAATCAAAATTTCTATTTTTTGTCAAAGTGTTACCTATTCAAGGTAAAAGCGGGAGTTATGGAAATCCTTAACTCCCTTGGGAGTTATGATATCCTTAACTCCCTTCCTTAACTCCCTTGGGAGTTATGAAAATCCTTAACTCCCTTGGGAGTTAAGACCCTGTTTATGATTATCGTAACCAAGGTATTATATGGTTTTAATAGTTCAGTAGGATATAAAATTATTTTATTAACTAAAATCTATTCAACATTTTGCCTTGATACATATAATTTATTGCGGGCGGCATCCTTCGAGACAGGAATTTAACTATAGACAAAGTAACATGCATTGTACCGAGAAAAATGAAAATTAAATTTTAAAGTATCTCCTTGAACGGATTTCTAATTTATTATGGCGCTAGGCGGGCGCGAATCTTTGAAAACGAACACCTGCAAATTTTGTCGGCTTTTAGATTCACAAAGAAAATAATTGTGTAAACAGTGAATTTCCGTCTAACTCCTGCAAATCAATCATTTTTTGATGTAAACAAATCAGTCTGAGATCATGGTCAAATGGAAAAGACACCCCCAGGAAGAGAATTGAACATTGTATAGTAAGGTGAATAGGTACTGGGTCTTGGAGTAAAGAATGTTGGTCACCTGATTATATAAATAAAGATATATTAACCATTTAGAATGCAGAGGAATTGTTACTTAATTCCATTCTTAGCAATTACGAACCCTACGACTGTAGCTACCTTAGTAAAAATCTGTAACAAATTGGAAACCGCACGAAATAAATTATTCGGCGAAGAAAAACAAACTGAAGTCTAATTTCTTTTATAGCATTAGAAAACTAGAAAGGCAACAATGTATATAGGCACCCTTAAGTAAGCTAAGTGAAATTTCAAGTAAGATAACGTAAATATTTATAGTATGTGATAAATAAGAATGTAACCATAGTACCAAGGGTAATGTAGATATATAGAGCATGAGAGACACAGTCAAATACTTATGCCGACGAATTAATTACCGAACATGTACGCCTAAAACAGCCAAGAAATGCTAAAGTTGCAGGAAATAATGAAGCCTGGTTCAGATTTAAAACTGATAAACTCAGACCGCTCTGATTGACAAATGGAAATCTCTCAGAAAGTGGGGTTAAGTTGAGGGTGCGCCTAGATGTAATGATACCCGACAGACGCTGATATATATCTCTCTCTTTCACTAATGAATAGGTTTGTGTCGAATGTCGGACTTGCGCGAAATATTTCCGTTTAAATAGTGTGTCCCAAAAGTATATAGTTTTACAACCGTTCTAAACAAAGTTAGTAATTTTTTCTGAAAGGACCCCGCACACCTCTTATGGGATTTGGGATGGGACTTCTGCCAAATTTAACCAAACTCTAGTATGATATAAATTTGACCTTTCTGATCAATTGACCTTTTGTTTGGACGCCATGTTGCGGTGCGCGAACATAGTTACCAAAAGTAGAAAAAAAAAATTACTAGCGTACTGTCAACATTAAAAACAAAAGTTACTAAATAAATTACATTTAAAATTTAAATTTGCCGCCTATTACGAATGTTTTTGAAAAGAAAAGCCATCAATTTTAGCTTGTATTGGGCAAAATAGAAATAATAAAATATCTACTCATTTACTTTCATCAATCAGAAAGAGAAAGTAAACAAACAAAAAGGATTGCGACACAGCCCCCTACATTTAACAAGCCATGAAGTTAAAAAGGCAACACCGCAATCTTACCGCCAAGTGGTGCTGGTGGTGTTTGTTTGTATAAATATATATTTTTTATTTTATTAATATGAATCACAAAAAATACATAATTTTTTGTACTAAAGGGCCAAAAACAGTAGTTCAATGAATAATTTAACTATTTGTGTAAATAAGAACAGTAAATAATGGATTTAAATGAATATATTTCTAGAGTCTAAAGTGTTATAGGCCTATGTTTCAGTATGTCTTTTGAAAATCTAACTTTTTCTTTCTTCGGGATTTTTTCGGAAGGCAAGTCCATTCAAATACTTGAGCTGATTTTCGAAAATAAGAGGTACCTACTTTTAAGAGTTGGACGTTTTAGTTTGAACTCTCGAACTACGCCTTTATCCTTGTTTGTTTCAAATCTAATTATTTCGGTTTCTTCAAAATGTTTACAACACACCACAGAATTTTTCGTTATTGTATAATCTCGGGTATAATTATCTTGGTGTATTGCTTTCATCCACATTTTTTGCACTTCAGAATTTTTTTGGAAATAAAAATGTTTGCATTTCTTCAGTTTTTAAGGAACTCCTATAGTTCGATTTGCACCCAGGAACACAGTAGTTTCATGGCATCTGGAACAAGTTTAAATATCTTAGGTAATATATCGAGACCTATGCTCTTGCAGACAAATATTAATATTGTTTTTATTGTTTTACCTTACCTTACCTTCATTTTTGCTCCTGTACCCATTTGCTAAAAATTTGCAATCAAAGCACAAAGGAACAGGTATCAACTAAATATGGGCAATATATTGGTGTGTTTCTATCCACTTTTTCGTCAAAAATGCCCATAAAAATACTAAATTGCAACAATACACAATGAAAGCAATACACAGAAACACATAACCCAATAACAAAATAGCACCATACGCGACGTTGCCGTCATTTCCAATTTCATGGCTTGTTAACTATAGGAGGCTGTGATTGCGAGGATCAATCATTTAGTTACTTTCGTTTTTTATGTTGACAGCCCGCTGGTAATTTTTGTTTTCTTCTTTTGGCAACTATGTTCGCGCACCGCAATATGGCGTCCAAACAAATGTCCAAATTTGAATTATCGGCAGCCTTATTCTGTAACTTGCAACCGAGAGAACTGCGCAATAGGGAACTTGCAAGTGAAGTAAAACTTTCCAAATTTGTTTTAAATCGATAGTTTATGCTGCACAATATTCATATGACCAGTTTTTATTTAACTGATACCGCCCTTGTTACACAAAAAATAATATTAAATTTGAAATAAAAACTTTCCCGCCAAAACAATGCTCCATGATGAATACCTGTTTTGACGTCACGATTCTGTAAACAAACCCGTCAATAGGGAAATCTGTGATAGGGAGCTTGCACGTAAAAAAAAATACAAAAGCAGTCCTTCACAATAGTCTTCATCCATTGCGACAATTTTCATAAAAAGTAAACTTTAACACACTTGAATAACACAACAATAGCACTGCGTTAGCAGGAGTTCATTTGCTTTGTATTTGATGTTTACAAAATCTCAACGTCACAAGCGCTGTCAAATTGAAATTTCGTGTTTTCGCGCCAAAGTATTTCATTTGAATTTCAATAATTTTTTTTCGTACAACGTATAAATTAAAATGGAAAAAAAGAAAATTATGTAATAACTGATGACTAGAAGTATCTAAAAAAAAATAATTTGAGAAATATGAAAATTCCCTATTGTCGCTGTCCAGTCGCTGTCAAACGCGAGTTTTCTATTCAAAAAATGCAAACTTGCAACAACCGGTTGCTGGTTGCTATGTAGTTGCTGTTTGTAGAGAATAAGCCTGCCGATTTTGCATTTTTTTGTGTGTTTAGGTATTGTGTTAATTAAAATGCCAGCGATTTGCATCGTATTTGGGTGTGGAGGTCGAGGTAACAGGAAAAATGTGAAATTTTATTCAGTTCCTGCTATTTTAAATCATTAGCAACGCAGGGTTTTATGGATTGCTGCAATTAAAAGAAAGGATCTAACAGAGGCTCGATTTTCCCTTAATAATAATACCTTAAACTATCACTCTCCATCTCAGAATTTATTAATAAATTAAAAAATACGTATTGTCTGGCTAGCGAAACGGCGAACTGCAAAAGAATTTGCTGCTTTGCCAAACTTGACGGAAATTAGAAACAAAGTAATAAACAAGTTGGTTTTTTTGCTATATGGGTATGTGTAATATTTTGAAATAGGAAAAAATCAGGCAACATTGCGAAATGATGGAAGTGGAGAGGCGTGATTATTCAGAAACAAGATTCTATTGGTTAGAGCTTGAACGACAGCATGCAGTGGCGTGGTGATCGGCGAAACTAGAGAATCTTTTTTCTAATAATTTTATTGGTTTATTTCCTTGGTGTTTTCGGTGCCACTGAACTCGAAGACATGGCTGTCATCAGACGGTGTCAGTTGATGTGTCAGTGAATATTTTTAGGTAACGCCCCAGTTTTCTTCCCCCTTTCGTCTCTACCAAGTTACCACTTGCCAGACTATAGAAACACTATAAACACTATAAATATCACTTTGAAAACAACAAGGGCCAGAACACTAAAAAATACGTTGAAATACTAAAGACTATAAAATTCACTATCAAAACAACAATGGCCAAAACCTGAGGCCAAAACCAATAAAAAATACGTAGAAACACCAAAGACTATAAAATTCACTTCGAAAGCAACGAGGGCCAGAACACAAATGTGCACAAATGCTCTCCTTATGAACGTCACCGGCTTGTCAGCCTTGTCACGGCAATATTTGACCCGAACGGCCATTATAAAATCACGTGATTGAGATTGTCTAATACTAGCATTGGCCCAACTTGATGATCCTATGACTAGTTTTTGAGATACAAGTAGCTTAAAGTCCAAGTACACATATTATATGTGAGCGTGAGAATACCTGTCAATTCTGGCATATTATTAGGTGACAGGTAGATGTAAATGCATAGAAAATGTGTACATTTCTTGGACATTAAGCTACCTGTATCTCAGAAACTAGTCATAGGATCAAGTTGGGCCAATGCTAAGTATTGATCAGAAAGGTCAAATTTTTATCATACTAGAATTTGGTTAAATTTGGCGTCCCAAATCCCATAAGAGGTGTGCGGGGTCCTTTCTTTCGATACGAATATTTTTTATTTACTTCATAGATGAAGAATGGTACATCGATTTCATTGAAATCATACCTTGTCCACTACCCTATTATGAAGCATGAAGCCATCACTACGAATATTTTCCGAAGATCTCGGTTTGTGCGAAAATCCGCTTGAACGGTTGGCGATAACTAATGTAGCTCTGAACGTGTGTTGGAGGGTTTATCGGGCACTAGGAGGCGGGGTGCACCCGTTGTTCCACCCGCTCTAGAAGACCGTTATGGAGATCATCGTCAGCCTCGGCGTAGAGCAAGCCATAGCAGAAATGGACGCTGTAGGTGATCAACCACCGTGCCGCTGCCTCGGATGCCAGGGTCGAGAACAAGGGCCTTCCGTGCAACCTGCAGGAGGTTGCTACCTTGGGCCAACCTTAAACCCCTACTACCTACAACCCCAAGGAGTACTTACTAGCCAATGGACAAGCAACTCGAGGCCTATCAGGAGGACCACACGTAGTCAACGAGCGACCGGGGCGCGGTTGACCAATCCGCCCACGAAATGAGCATGTGACACAGAGGAGGGTCCTGTCCACATATAGGGTGGTCGTCCGGAACCCCGAAGGACCACACCTGTTGACCCTCCAGCGTCGCCACACAGGGTAGGAGGAACCGGAAGAAGAAGACAATGAGGATTAGGCATTTAAGTAAGTTTTGTAGTAATTATATTAGTTGAAGTTAGGATATTTTTTTTTTCTTCAATATAATCAGTAAGGGATATTCAATCGATAGAAATTTAGGGTAATAATCAATGACATCAAAACACAGATAGACGGATCATCCCATTCATAAACTATTATTTGTTGTGTTGACAAGACCACCCATGGGCCAGGGGAGGTGAGTTGCTCGCGGGGTCGGGGTAGGGAGACATCATTGCTCAAAATGGTGTAAAAAACCCCGCCCACACGTGAATATATCTCGAAATTTAATTGGATGAATAAATAAAATAACAAATTGACAAATAAACTGAAAATATTCGATACGAGCCCTTTATTCTGGGAGTACCAATATCGTGTTAGCCGTTTCTTGTTTAACGCTAATGAATAATCCCTGTTTGCAATAAAGATAGCTAGCTACTACAATCAACACCTGCATGCCATTCAACAAGCCGCTTCTGGGCGGTGTTTTGCTATAATCTGCTGTTGCCAAATTGAGTTCAGAAATAAAATTGAAAATGTTAATTAGAGGAGAAAAATATATTATTTAGGGATTCAAGACAAAATTTGGCATTCTCAGTGGTGGGGATAGCACAAAGACCCAAAAGAGACAGAGAGATGTTGTCATACGAAAATTTTGTTTATTGTTCGGTCTATCTGTGTTTTGATGTCATTGGTAATAATCATTTTCATAGGTATGACGTAGGGATAAATTTTAAAAGGTAGGTAACTTTTAAGAGGTAAAGTAACCGATACAGTTAGGTGATATAAAGCAAGCGCAGGTTTTGAATTATACCTACGTTATATAAATAGCAAGTAAGGAACATTTATGAAACATAAACATTGTCAAGTGTCTCGCTACTTGTCGTCCTCTCAAGAATGAATGAGTAAATTCACCGAACTGCCGCAATGTTTTTTATTAAAATAATAAAGTGATAGAAATAATCTTATTAAAAGATAATTCCGATTCAACATCCTTTGAGACAGGAATCTAACTAGAGACAAAGTAACTTGTATTGTACCGGGAAAAATAAAAATTAAATTTTAAAGTGTCTCTTTGAACGGAATTTATTATGGCGGCGGTTGGGCGCGAATCTTTGAAAACGAACACCTGCAAATTTTGTCGGCTTTTGCATGGGACCCGATGCCAAAAATGACGCAAAAATCGCGTATAAAAAGGGCAAAGGGTCCATGCAGTTTAAAAACAGTAAGAAAAAGTCAGTAAGTCATTAAGACAGTAAGAACGGTCAGTCAGAAGCTTGAGTTGAAACTTGAGTAATAAGTCAGTTTCCGAAAATGTAGTAAAAGTAAATTTCCGTCTAACTCTCAAAAGTCTCAAATTGGAAACCGCTCGCCAACAATTAACATCTTAAACAGTGATACTAGGGCGGGCGCTACACTCATTATCTTTTGGCCAATTTCTAACAAGCATAAATTTCTTCATAAATCATAGAGGCACCAACTAAATGTTAATTTATCTAGTCTGCGAGAATTAACCCGAACCAAACTAAGATTTTTTCAATTACAATGTCAAACTTTCTCTGATATTGATGATCTTTTGCAGGAATGGAGATTTTTGGAAACTCAACAAGCTGGATATTTGACTATCTTGAATACATATATGGCCAGGTTACATTGAGTTGGATTCAGTTGGAAGGTCAATGAAGAATTAGTTTTAGCTACAAATGTGGTAAGTTGCTAATAAGCAATTTGATATGAACTATTCAAATAAAAAAATCATGGGTTTCTTGATTTTTATTTGAAAATTATGAGATTGTCATTCTGAACAAACATTATTTCAACAGGTGTGTCATGGCCTGCCAGATCTCCAAATTCAACTTCGCCTGATTTTCATTTATGGGTTATTCAAAAAATATATGTTTTGCAAGCGAATTAACGATCCAGAAGGACCATGAATGCGTGTCAAATCAAACTACAAGCCTTGAATATTTTCAGGAAACAAAACCTAATGCAATAAATAAAATTTTAAAATTGGTTCATTTTTTAAAGAAAATAAAATACCATTATACTCTTATAAACATTTATCACTTATTTATTTTCCTAACAAAAATTCAAAAGATAATACATACTTATTACAATTTTGTTGTTGAAAATTTGCACAATTATTGTTGCCTATTTTCAAAGATTTAGGCCCTCGTATTGAAATTACTTAACTAAACAGCAATTATTTGAAACATTTCTATACAACAATCAGATATTTTAAACTTAATACAAAGAAAAAATATACAAATACCTAAATATAAATATTTTACAAAACAGGAATGTGTGTTTTAGATCAATAATAATAATTGTTATAAATACTTTATCTAGGAAATTCAATTTCTTTTTTAGAAAAATATACAAAGCTGACCTAGACTAGAATGGCACAATATTTTAAATAATAATGTACATTAATTGAGTATTATTTCTTAAGGAGCACAAGGTCATAAATTATACTAAAACAAAAAAAAAAAAAAAAAAGAAATCAGTCTTTTTATACATTATAAAGCTCAGCTTTTTCAAACATTTATGACACTTCTGGCAATATGGACACAGATAAATTCTTGTGTACAGGAGTTTTTTTTTTTTGTATCAATTAAGACACAATGGGGCAATGAAGGGGGGGTTATCACACAGTTCAACACTTAAACTAGTTTGGAAATTGCTACTAGTAGGACGAGTAATGGTAGAAAAGCTTTGGCAACATTGGAATCACATCGGATCTCATCACGTTGATAGAAATTCGAAGGAGGAGCTTCGTCGCCTGTTTTACAATGTTCACCTCGACTTTCGAATTCTTTCTATAATCAAGAATAATTTTTAATAAATAAAGAGTAGTAAAACATATACTCACAGCGCATATTTCTTTACAAGATGGACACACAATTCCGCCTTTATGCAGCCAACCGTTGCTAGTAATTCTTATAGATATTTCCTGGTTTTTATGGTAACATTCATAGGAATAATTTCCCACCTATTGGACAATCGATATCAGTTTTGTTAAAAAGTTAAACTCAAAGTTATTCCTTTAAAAAATGATGTATGAGATTTCAGGAATGAGTATGATATTTTAAAAGTAGAACATCAATTTGAGAAAGTGTATAAAACATAATGCCTCACTCAGATTGAGTGGTTGAAACATGTTAAGGATTTAAAAAAAGGGTTTTCTTGTGATATTCTCATCAACACCAGAATATGAAACGGATTATTCCCAATGACATCTTAACACAGATAGACACCACATCTCATTCATAAACTGATGTTTGTTGTGATGGCAAGGTCCTCTTTAGGCCAGGAGAGGTGAGCTGCTCGAGGGGGGTCATGGTAGGGATGCATTAGAGGTGTAAACAAGAACCGCCTACCTCTCTGAACCCCTCATTCACCTGACCAATACCTAGAACAAAGAAATGTGCGCAGGTGTCACTCGCTGCCAGTAGTGGTTTTTATTCTTGGAAGCTCCAATAATTTTTGAAGCAAACTCATACCTAGCAGGATAAAATATCAATCCGTGACAATTTGGCAACCTAATTGGAGGAGAAATACCAGATGTTGGCGACACAAAATGTTGTTTACTGTAATGTATCTGTGTTAATATGCCATTGATTTTTTCCAACAAAAAAAAAAAAAACATTATTACATGGTTGTTTTGATTGTTTAAAATTAACTAACCAAAATATGCAATCTCCCATTCTGACAACGATAACCATAACACCCGGATCCCCAATGCATCCATTGACGTAATTGACCACAAGATTTTTCCTCCCACATGTGATTTGTGTGTTCAAAACATCTAGAATTTTCTCCGTATTTCTCTAAAGCGAAGTTTTTGTCGGGCTCTGAAAATGACCAAAGTTAACAAAATAAATACACTGTTCGTAAAACTGACTTGGATTATTTTCCGTGTACTGACAATGAGATCCTCTGACAACGACATTGTTGGATCTCCAAGTGAATTCTTGAATGTAGGGGCAGTAATCGGCTAAGGATACCGAACCACCGTAATAACCTTCTCTGGTTGGTTCGACGTCTTGGAGAGAGTCGAAATTCTGAAACAAAGAATCCGGTCACTGAAAGGCAAATCTCATTGACGATTGACTTACCTGATATATTTTTGGTAATTCTTGTTTATATTCAACAAGATTACACAGTGCCACTGAGGTCCTGTCATCTGTACACTCGGTTTGAAGCGGATCCCGTTTGACTTTATTGCAAAACGGGTGAATGGAAAATCCTCTAAAAAAAAAAACGTGAAGTTGGAACTTTATAAGAACATTTTCCTGCTGCATAACAAGCCAATGTTCGTGCCTCTGATTCAAACTCAGAAATAAACGCAACTTCATCGTCACTTTCACTATTATTGTCGATTTCAGCCAAATGAGATTGTCCCCTACTATTTTTAAATTTTGGACAATCCACCTTTTTGTGCCTCTTTTTATCCCAACCCATCTTAATGGAAAGTTCTTTTTCCAATTTTGTCCCCTTGGATTAAAATGTGGCCCAAAGTTTCCTAGAAACACCTCTGACCCTTCACTCTGATATTTTAGTTCATACTTGTTTTTATTTTGTCTCTCTTCTTCCATCAAGAGTCTACTCTCAATGAATTCTAGAGTCACTTTACTGAGTTCTTGACAATACAAAATGTCTATTCTTGTAGTCACATTTTGATACGTATCAGGCATTGCAAATAATAACTTTTTTTTTTTTTTTTTTTTTACGGATATGCGCACTCGCAAGGAAATGTCCTATCACGCTCGAGAAGCGGCAAGTGCGCGGAAATGTCGGTGTATGTTGGTCTTGAAACGGTTCAGGTTGTAACCTGCAGGGAAAACCGTCGCAGGGAGTTTATTCCACAGCGATGCTGTTCTCCAGAGATATGAATTCTGATATAATGAGGTTCTTGGAGCCTCTAGTTTGACAGTAAATTCATGGTTACCGTCTGTTTGACGGGTTCGCCTGGTAGGTGCTACTCTCGGTGGAATCATACGTGCCAACTCTTCAGAGCATTTTCCGTGATAGTACCTGTAGAAGAGAGATAAATCGCCCACAGATCTGCGATGTTCGAGACCATCCAAGTTACGAGTAAGTGCGGGGTCATTGATCAGCTTGATAGCTCGTTTTTGCACGGTATTCAAAAGCATTAAGGTATGTTTGGGTGCTGCACTCCATATATGTGAGCAGTACTCCATAGTTGGTCGAATCTGGGCTTTGTAGAGTGTCAGCAATTGGCTTGGTGTGTACAGATGTCTTGTACGAAATAGCACCCCCAGCTTTTGGGAGGCCCTTTTAGCAATATCTGCCACGTGACTGTGCCAAGACATGTTGGTCTCTGCAGTAACCCCCAAGATGTTCAACTGACTCTGTAATGTGACAGCACTTCCAGATAGCATGATGTTTGGCTCACCGGTGCTGGTCTTTTTTGAAAACAGAGCTGCTTGGGTTTTCTGCGCGTTGAACTGTACAAGGTTTTTGTTACCCCAGTCCTCTATTATCTCCAGGTCGTTATTTATCTGCGATATTTGAGTTAGTCTAAGATGATGGAATTCACGTGCGGAAAGACCTGTGGGTGGTATGAGTGAGGAGACTACATTGCCATCGTCTGCAAAGCAATAAAGTGGATTTACTGTTTTATCTATGAGGTCATTTATGTAAATCAGGAAAAGAGTTGGCGAAAGGATTGCTCCCTGTGGCACACCAGCATTTATTTGGTAAGAGTTGGAGTTCTGGCCATCCAGTGCAACATAAATGGATCTATCCTTTAGGTAACTTTCAAACCAAGTGCAAAGTTTCGGCGATAATCCCATTGCTTTGAGCTTGTTGAGCAGATTTTCATGCCAAACTTTGTCGAATGCTTTAGATATATCTAAGGCAATTGTTCTTGTTTCACCCCGCAACTCAATCGCTTTTTGCCATAAGTGAGTGACGTATGTAAGTAAATCGCCAGTTGACCTATATTTTCGAAATCCGTATTGCTTATCGTTGATAATTTTGTACTTTTCCAAGTACTTGGTTAGGTGATTGTTCACAACTCTTTCCATTACTTTTGATATCACCGGAAGTAGAGCAATTGGTCTATAGTTTAACGGATCTGTCTTTTTTCCTTTCTTTGGAATGGGTTGTACTGCGGCAGACTTCCATGATGATGGATATACTCCTTGCCTGTAAGACAAATTGAATAATTTTGCGAAAGTTGGGGTGAGTTCGTTGGCGCAATTTTTGAGTACTATTGCGGGAATGCCATCCGGACCCATTGCTTTGTTTGTATCCAGCTTTTTTAGGGATTTTCGTATTTCTCTGTGACAAAAGGGTACCTCTGGCATACTATGGAAAACCCTTTCAATGAACGGTGGAGTTTTTCCGTTTGGCACTGTTAGGTTGGAGTTGGAGGAAAACATTTGGGCAAGCATATTGGCTTTTTCCTCTGATGTTGTGGCTAAGTGATTATTTTTATCTGTAAGTGGTGGTATGGATGACTTGGTGAAGTTAGATCCAACAGCTTTTGCAAGAGACCAAAAAGACCTAGAACTACTTGGACAATTCAGCAACCTGTTTTTTATTCTTTGATTGTATGTTTCTTTAGCGGAGTCAATAGTAATTTTGCAACTATTTCTGGCTTCTATAAATTCTGTGTGGTTTTGAGCGGTTTGTTGTCGTTTCCAAAGGTTATATGCTCTGTGTTTTTTCTGTACAGCCGTTTGACACTGGCTGTTGAACCAAGGTTTTGCATTAGCTCTACGTTTAGTTGTATGTGGGATATATGCGTCCATTCCAGATAAGATTACTTGTGTTATTTCATTACAGCAAATAGTGGGATCAGCTGTTTTAAAGCAAACCTCTTGCCATGGAAAATCCAGGTAATACTGTTTTAGGTCATTCCATTTTGCCGATTTATAGTGCCACATTTTACGAGGAAGTGGTTGTAGGCTTGGTGGGATGAGCATTTCGCACTTTGTTATTATAAGTTTATGATCGGACGAACCAAGTGGAGCATCTACTTGAATTGTGTACGAGTCAGGATTGGTGGTTAGGAACAAGTCTAAAAGCGCTGCAAATTCGCCCCTTTCTGAGATACGGGTAGGTTCATCGACAAGCTGCGTTAGACCACAACTTATGGCAAAAGCTTCTGCTTCTCTGCCTTCGTTATCTGTTTTGTTGTGGTGTTTCAGCCAGGGTATATTGTGGACGTTGAAATCGCCTAAAAAGACAATTTCCGCCTGTGGATAGTTTGACTGTATACTATCACAGCTTTCGGATAATGTCGCGAAAAAGTTTTGGTAATCGGTGTTACTTGGCGGTCGGTAGAGGCAGCAGATAAACTTGGTCGATGACTTCGAGGTGAATTTTAGCCATATGATATCAAGGTTCGCTGGTTCTAGCTTCTCCTCTCGATGACATGAAAGGTCATTTTTAATGTACACACAGATCCCAAAATTATGTCGAAATCGGTGGTGTAGGTCATAGCCGGGATAAAGATAGTTCACAATAGGTGTTGCAGAACTGATTTTAGTTTCAGTGAGAACAAGGATGTCAGGTCTTTGTTCTTCAAGATGTTGGTGAACTGAATTCATATTTGTACTTATTCCTCTTATATTGCTAAAATCAATTCTGAGTTGAGTTTTTGATCTTCTCGTTATATCTTTGCATGAAGGACCCCCAGGATCACCCGACGCCCGGAGATCCGAGTGGTCGGGTATTTTACCTCCGGAATATTTTGATCCTGGAGGCGCCATCATGCTATCTGTTACTCATTGTTGGAACCGGACTGCCAGCGCAGTAGCGGAACGTGGTGATACCACTTAGCGCTACTCAATTCTGGCATGGTGGTATCTCACCGGTCGACGCCCAATGAGTAATAATCTCTGATTCTTACATACATTTGTCAAGCAGTTTTCTGATTTTCAATATTAGCAATTCAGTTTTCTGAAACTGACTTCACACTTTACAATCTGTGTATCAATGCTCTTTATACAGGGTGGTCCAGGGAAAACAGTCCAGCAAGGTTTACGGCTTTGGACGAAAAGAAATAAAAAACCCTCGGACACGTAACTTTCGCCCCTCACTTGTCAACCCCTAAGCCAGGGTGGGGTCGAGTGATACGTCATTTGATAGCTATTTTCATTATGATTATATCCCCGAAGTTTAAAGTTGCTATTATTCACCTTGTCGAAATGGCGGCATTTCAAAGTTAGGAAAAATGTTTTTTTTTTTTTTTTTTCGATTAACTAAACTGTAAACCTAGTTTTTACCTGTCACACCTATGCGGAAGTAGCAGGTAAAAACCACACAGCATTTTCCACAATTTTTACAAGCCGCTATTTCGGCAGAGTAAATATAGTACCAACTTCAAAACTTCGGGGATATAATCTTAATGAAAATAACTATCGAATGACGTATCACTCGACCCCTCTCTTCATTTGAAATTTTGGGGGTACCTATCACTCCGGCTTAGGGGTTGACAAGTGAGGGGTGAAAATACCAATAAAATGTGTCTCCAAGAAAACAAAATTTTTCGGATCTGAAGGTTTTTTTTTATCTTTTCGTCCAAAACCGTGAACCGTAAACCTTGCTGGACTGTTTTCCCTGGGAAACGGAAGTTTCCAAGTCAAAAAGCTCAAGATACAATTCCGTAATTTAATTTAATTCCATAAGTATTTTGTATTACTAATTTGTAGATAAACTGAATTTTGTCTGAATAAAGGATTGCTTAATAAAAAAATTACCACAGGACAGATGCAACAATACTCTTATAGACATCCACATTTAAAATTAGAAAAATATGTCAATTTTAATTGAAGAACCATGCAAATGCACGTAGGTACAGACCCAGTGGCGTATTTACCATAAGACCATGAGGGCCATGGCCCGGGGCGGTAGGGCTGCCGGGGGCGGCACAAGCCGCGTCCCCAGCACTTAGCAATGCTATCTTAACTGTGCAAATCAACAAAATGAGTTTGAGGCAACTGAACATATTATTTAATAAGGAAAAGAAATTGAAGGAAGCATTTTCTCATACAGAAATAGTATAACGGTATAACATATTATGATTCTATGCACTGCAGTAAACTTTGACTTCCAGTGTTTCTTTTTTTGTTAAAATGTTTATTCATTATTTAATTTTTTTTGTTAAATTATAGGGCGGCAAACCTTATCGGCCCAGGGCGCCAAATTTTAAAATACGCCACTGTACAGGGTGGTCCAAATTGGACACTTTCTTATGGAAACACCCTTTATTTTTAGAGATAGAAAAAAATGGACCCCCACTCTGAGGCTCAAATTTCTTGAAATTTTGATTGGTGCAAACCGCATTTTGATATCTTCAACCGTTTAGCCGCTAGAGGGCGATTCTCGATTTTGAGCAATACTGTAAATCCCCCATAACTTTTTTGTTTATGAAAATAAAAAATTTCCGTAAAGACCTTTTGGAAGCACTTTTTCAAGCAGAATTCAGTGACGTTCTCAGTTTGTTTCTGTCTGGCTTCGATTTCGAGATATTGACCAAAATCCGATTTTTTTCAATAGGATACCCCATATTAATAGTTCATTAGAAAGCTATGCTTTCGCTGATTTCAATGATATAAAGTTCGATAGGTTTATCTTAACAGATTTCGAGAAAGAAAATTATTTCGGTTTTTGTCATAAGGAACAATGTGTTAGAAAGAGAACTTTCTCAGTTTCCTTACAGAGATGAAGTTCTTTTCCAACACATTGTTTCTTATGACAAAAACCGAAATAATTTTTTTCTCGAAAACTGTTAGATATAAACCTATTGAACTTTACATCATTGAAATCAGCGAAAGCATAGCTTTCTAATGAACTATTAATATATAGGGTGTCCTATTGAAAAAAATCGGATTTTGGTCAATATCTCGAAATCGAAGCAAGACAGAAAAAAACTGAGAACGGCACTGAATTCTGCTTGAAAAAGTGCTTCCAAAAGGTCTTTACGGAAATGAATTATTTTCATAAACAAAAAAGTTATGGAGACTTTACTTTACAGTATTGCTCAAAATCGAAAATCGCCCTCTAGCGGCTAAACGGTTGAAGATATCAAAATGCGGTTTGCACCAATCAAGATTTCATGAAATTTGAGCTTCAGAGTGGGGGGTCCATTTTTTTCTATCTCTAAAAATAAAGGGTGTTTCCATAAGAAAGTGTCCAATTTGGCCCACCCTGTACAGACCGAACCAAACACAGTCAAATTTCGAACAATACAATACAACAATCTAAGTTAAGCAGAGTTGTTCAAAATACATACACACAGAGCTCATTCTGGGATACGTTTGTACGACATATGAATTCTCTCTTGTCTTTAAAAAAGTGGTTTTTCAAATTAAAAATTTGATTCAACAAAATCAATGAAATAAAGAGGTCGATAAATTGAATCCTATTGCAAAAAAGTTCTTACCTTGATGATTTCATACTGATCCAGTCTTTGCAACTTTTCGTCACAAAATCGCAACCCAAATTTTTACCCCACGACATTTCCCCTGCCATAGAGTAATTGGCAATGTACCATCCGGTATCTTCCATTAGAGCCAGCGTGATTCTAGATATTATCGGGTTTTGAGTGTGCGTTCCTGTCATAGCTTCATTCTGAAATAGAATAAAAATTTACAAAGTAGGTAATTAGTAAAAAAAGCAGTCAAAATTTTACCTCGAAAACTCTTTTTTCCCAATGAGTAAGTGCCGTTCCCTCTTCACCTTGATCTTCAAGCTCAGCGCCTTCTAGTTCAGTGCAATTGAAATAATTCCTAGCTTCACGAACTACATTAGGAGTGATTATCATATGGACTTCTCGATTGGCGTATCCGTCTTTGACGAACCAAGTGCGCCAATAGGATTTTATCACATTTTCGCTCCACTGGTAGGTTTGTAAGCTGAAAAATGAGAGGTGAGAGTTACCAGATTATAATATTCATTTATGCAGCGGTCCTGACATTTGTATTTTACATAAATATTCTCCTATAGGTGCTGTAAATTTGCTTTCAGGATTAATTTTTGATGCTTATTTGGGGGACAGAAACTGGTAATAGAGTGATTCTTTTTGACTTAAAAGACAATGAAATCTCTCTAACTTTCAAGGATCTGAATCAACTCTAAAGACCCCCCATACATTTCGTAATTTTTCATCGGTTCGAATCACTGCGATTCGGAACGTCGTGCTAATACGTGGTGCAGTTTTGCCCACACACTTTGTGAATCCCATACTTATTTTCAGTCGCTCACCCACGATAGAAAGAAGAAAATTATTAGCAGTGGCGGCGGCAGCTTCGGCTCTAATATAATAATATACTCTAAAGACTTCATATGCCATAAACAACGAAATTGCCGAAAATAAAATATATATTCTACTACATTCCTAAATTATTTTCCAGTATACAGGGTGGCCCAAACTAGTAGTGACACAAAGTTAATGTTTTTTTAAATGATTCCCCCTGTATATTATGACATTTCTGGATTCCGCGGAAAATTCTAGGCACATTTCATGTGCAATGTCATATACCTATCTTCAACTGTTTCGGAAATATTGACAGTTGAAAATTGACTTTTTTGCATCTTTGACAGACTGATGTGAAACCTAACCGGTTAATTTTACAAGAAAACGGATTTTACATTCCTATCGTAGTTTTTCATAAAAAAACTATCATTTGACACCAACCTTGAATTTAATCCATGATTAAAAATTCCGCCTAAATTATTAATCTCGATCTCCGTTAGTATAGGAGATATGGACGACCGCGCGCTTAGTCACTCACCCTGTATATTTTGATGAGAAAGAAGTTTGTGGATTTTTGCATATAAATGGAGAACAAATCTGACAATGTGTCAAAGTCGACAGGTGCACTTATTGTTGCTTGACAATTATTTTCACTTTTCGGCAGTCAGTGCGGATACAGACCTTATCCGCACGGAGTGCCGAAAGTTACCTACACCAATCAAAATTAATGAAAGTTATCACATTTCATTCAACATATTCCTGAAGTACTTATTCAAATTTAAATTTAGGTAGCGGCCTAATTAAAATATCTGCAACATTTTCATTTGTTGAGACATATTTTAAGATAAGAAGCTCCTTTGCTACACAGTCCTTACTAAAGTGTGCTTTATGGTCTATGTATTTTAATCTTTTACTGTTTTGGAAACTTTGAATAGACATTAATGCACCTTGATTGTCATTAAAAGTAATGATTCCATATTTTTTATAGAAAAATCACTGCAAATGCCTTGTAAGTAAATAAGTTCTGAAGCAGTCATTGCACTGGCAAGATATTCAGATTCATGGCTCGACTGTGCAACAACATTTTGTTTTTTCGAGCCCCATGAAACTAGGTTTTTGTTCATAAACACTGCATAACCACTGACACTTTTTCTATCCAATCGATCACTGCCCCAATCCGTATAAGTGTAGGCCGTTAGTTGATTCTTGCTTCTTTCATAAGTGAGTGACTTGTTCTGTGTTTGTTTCAAGTACCTACCTATCTAGGGATCCCCTTTGCAGCTATCCATTCTTATTCTGTAGGTTTATCCAGAAATCTGCTCAGATAAATTACAGAGTATTGAATATCTGGTCTGCTTATTGTAGCTACGTATGATAATGAACCAATAATTTCTCTGTAGGGTATGTTAGTTCTAACTGGTTGATCCTCTATTTGAAAATTTGGTTCCATGAGTGTGGAAATAGTTTTGCAGTCTTCCATTTTGGATCTTTTAGCATTTTCTCAATAAGTCCTTTTTGTGAGATGTGCACTAAGTTCTCTTCAATCTCTATTTCCATGCCCAAGAAATGTTTAATGTTCCCTAGATTTTTAGCGGAAAACTCTTTTTGTGAAGCTTTTAATATCTTATCACTGTTGGGTCCTGTTAAGATGATGTCATCCACCCACAGTAATAACGAGACTTTCTCGTCTATATATAACCAAAAGTCATGTCTTGAACGTTTCAAGTTATTTTTCTGTGCAAAATTATTGAAGGTTTCATTCCAGGCTCTCGGGGTTTCACGTAGACCGTGGAGTGCCTTTGTCAACTTTAGCACATTATGGTTTTTGTTGAGATTTTTTTCGACTTCTACTCCTTCTGGAATTTTCAGGTACACATCTATGTTTAGCTTTCCGTGCAAAAATGCACTAGGTATATCCAATTGTTTGATATGCCATTTATTTTGTAAAGCCTGTACTGTACATACAATGAACATTCTAATTGTTGAATACCTACCTTGCAATTGGTGCATAATTGTTTTAGTGAAAATCTTCCTGGTACTCTTTTGCAACAAGTCTCGCCTTCTTAACACCATTAGGATTAATTTAAAATAATCAACGTGTATCTATTGCTTTTTTCCCTTCTGGTAGTTTTGTCTGTTCCCATGTTTTGTGCTTTTCAAGACCTGATGGTTCACTTTGTATCGCTTATTTCCAACCATCACTTGACATTGCTTCGTTATAGGTCTCTGGTTCTTGTTCTTCTGCACTAAATAAGCAATAGGCTGAATAAAGCTCATAGTCACCAAATCGTTCTGAAATTTTCACTTCTCTCTTATTTTTTATATTATTTCTGATCAAATTGTTTTCATTTTCTATTCCTTGGTCTTCTTCTGGGTCTTGCTGTTCATCTTCTTCATTATCCTTTACTTCTGTCTCTACTTTGTTCTCGACAACCTCTACTATGTCATACATACCATCATTTTCATCAAATCTCACATCTCTTGATATTATAATCTCATCATTCTCTGGATCCCATAGTCTGTAGCCATTCATGCTATATCCAACTAATCTTACTTGTTTTGCTCTCGTGTCTAATTTGTCTCCGGAGTTTGGCATCTTTAAAGCCCACGCTTTACTTCCAAACAACACCCTTAAATTATTTAAATCCGTCTTTCTGTAATATATATTCGAAGGAATATCATCTGACAGGGCACTATGATTGGGTAACGATTAAGCTGATATGCTGCACTGCTTATAGCTTCACCCCACAAATATTTTGGTAAATTTGTCTCAGCAAACATGGTTCTAACTTTATCGAGAAGTGTTCTATTTGCCCGTTCACTTACACCGTTCTGCTGACTTGTATAAGGTAGTGTGTATTCTTTTACTATCCCTTTTTGTTTACAAAAGTTTTTTAACTGTTACGAAGTGAATTCGCCTCCATTATCTGCACGTATCCTTGTACAATAGTATCCTTCTGCCTTTTGTTTCCTGATATAATTCATTAAGTTAAATTGTGCTTCACTTTTGTTCTTTAGTAGATATACTAATGTGTGATCAATAATGATTTGATAGTATTTTATTTTTCCCTCGATTTTGCCTAATTTTTAGTTGGGGTTCTTAATGGACCAGCTATATCTGTGTGTAGAAATTCTATCTTTTTTGATCTAGGTAATTGCACAATGTCAAAAGGTTTTCGAACTGCTTTACCCTCTTCACATGGAGTGCACACTTTAGATGGAACAGGTAAATTTAGCTTTTTCAAGTACCGGTCAGATAGATATCCTAAACGTTTATGCCAAATTTCTCCAGTTACTGTCAAATTTACCGTGGCACTTTCTTTTTCTGCCAACTTGAATTTTGCTATGTATAACCTTTCATGTGATCTACATTAAATATTTCTACTATTTTTGCCTTGTATAAGTGCTTTCTCTTTTTCGAAAATAATCTTTTTCATTTATCTTCTTCACATACAATAAATTATAGGTTAATTTAGGCACTATTAGGGCTGTCAAATTTAGGTTTGTATTAGGTATTGTATTTTAACAAGTTTTCCTCTCTTATAGGTATGCACAGGTGTTTCCATTTGCCATTCTATTTTCGACTTCATTTTGTAAATTTTCTCATCTGTCATGCATTTCAGAATTTTATCTGTAACTAAGTGGTCAGTAGTACGCCACTGTCAAGAATAATAGTATATTATATACCTAGGTAGAGAAGCTGGTCATTATATACCGCAGCGCCTCGGTTTATAATGCTTGAGGTATATAATGACTTTCTCTACCGAGGAATATATAGAATTTTTTTTACTACTGCTAGTAGAAAATAAAAAATTTGTTTAAAATCTGTGTTCTAATTATTTTTTGTGAACGCCCTCTTGAAAGTGCTGCCCTCTATCAACAGCTTATATTACTTCCACAGAAACCTGTATTTTTTTTCAAATTGACGTATGAAATTGAAATTGAACCAATAGAAACATGACAATATCCTTGCGTCATGACGTCATTTTCATTATTGACCTAGGTATTTTTTCATTATTTTCATTATTAACCTAGGGAGAGAAATTCAATTTTTTCTTAGAAAAATAGATTGAATAATGTCTATTTCTCAGGTTAGTAGTAAAAAAAATTAATTTCAGAATCACTCACTTGGCATAGCAAAGTTTGCTTCCAAAACTTCTATTAAAAATAAAACATCTTCATTGTTTTGCTGCAAGCTTCCACTGGTTTCTAATTCTGCTGCTTCCGAGACATATGCTTGCCTATTTGGGCCTCTTCTGTAACCTCTACCTCTTCTATATCCTCTGGCTTGACCTTTTTGTACCGGGTGTTTTTTTTATCTTTGATATCATTTTGCTCACCTGTAACTTTTTTGTTTTTGAAGTTATCAAGGTAAACAAAAAAACAAAATGTAGAGTTAGTTTTTTTTCAAGTTACACATGAAAAAACACTATCAATTTTTTGACAAATAAGCCTACATTATATTTTTTCAAATGGAACATCCTGTATATTGTGTGTTCAATAGAATATCTTATTCTGATACAATGATATAACACACTACATATTTTGGTCCACTCGTTTTTGATAAATCGGCAAAAATATGAAACTTTCGAAGTCAATCTTATTAGGCAGGGGTCTGATATTTGGGACGAGAATTATTGAGAGTGCATATAAAAATTTCATATGTTTTTGCTGATTATTGTTAAAAACGAGTGGACCAAAATATGAAGTGTGTTATATCATTGTAATCAGAATAAGATATTCTATCCAACACACATATAATATACAGGGTGTTCCATTTAAATAGTATATTAAAGTATAAGTGGATATATTAACTACAAGTACCTACTCTTGACAAATCGATAATTATAAAGTTGATTTAGACTTAACCTTTCTTAAGCCTAGTACTCATAACAGCGAAATTCGCTCTTTTTTGACATTGCTTCGTCAATATGATGTTAAATGCGTGATTCAAACGTCAAATTATCGGAGCAATGTCAAAAAAGAACGAATTTCGCAGTTATGAGTACTAGGCTTTAATTAGGTTGTTGATGTTGTCATGGGTAACTTTAAAACACGCGCGTTTTTGAATGTTGGATTTAAACACGCTAAGGAGTACTTTAAATAAGTAAAATAGGTTATCAATAAAAAAAAAATAATGTAGGGTTACATGTTAAAAAATTGATAGTGTTTTGTTTCATGTGTAACTTGAAAAAAAACTTGGCTACTAACCCAACATTTTGTTTTTTTTGTTTACCTTGATATCTTTAAATACAAAAAAGTTACAGGTGATCAAAATGATATCAAAAGATAAAAAAACACCCGGTACATAATTTTGATGTTTTTTGTTTGGACAATCTCTAACAAAATGTCACTCTCTTCCACATTCAAAACACTTTCGCCCTTGTACACCTTTTCCAACACTAAATGCACAATTTTTTCAAATGTGTCCGGCTGAGTGTCTTTAAATTTCAACTCGGCTTCTAAGAGACGGGTTTTTACAAATTCTAAAGTAATGGTGCATTTACATTCACTTCAAAGTCCAATTTGTCTTGAAATTGACGTGCTTGCCATATGGCGACAGCACAGACCCAGTTACATTGAAATAAAGGACATGGCACGGATTATATGGAAAATAAAGGCCAGTCGATTTCTTTAAAATTTTAATATGTTGTAGAGTGAGGGAAAAGAAACAAAAGTTACCAGGGGCCCATTGTGCCCCGACCAATAGGAGACCCACTAAATGAGTTTAAAGAAAGCTTGGAAATGACCGAAAATGGCAAATTACTAAAGTTTTCATGTTTTATATTGTTGTCTTTTTAGCTAAAAAGTTGGTTTGGTAAAAATACCCAAGATTTTAACGCCTTTCCCCCTCGCAAGAAGAAGGAAGGGCCCCCTAAAGAGATAGAAAATATCTTTCAAAAAATTATATCGACAGGTATCACTTCCCTGCCGCCATTCCCGTATTTTAGAATTTCAGGCTCTTGATTTGTTTTTTAATTTTTACTCCTGGCTTTTTTAAATGTTTTTCTTCCAACATGAATTTTGTGTATGTTTTCGTTTAAAAGAAATCAAGAATTTAAGAGCCTAGCGTTTGGAATAGATAAAAATTGAAAGTTATGTCCTGAAGACGTCTTTAGACAGACGTTGGGCTTTGTATCATATCAGATGTCTTTAAGAAGTTTTGTGGACATCTTATAGGGACGTTTTTAAAATATCTGTGTGCTGTCTGGGTATAAGGGTAAATTTTTACTTACGTTTCATTCAAATGTGGTTTTCCAGTTTCCGGGCTGCGTTCAGTAAGAGGCGTTCCATCTTTCTCCCGATAAAAGGCATAGAGGCTTACCGAAAAGCCCAGAGCATGTAAAATTTCGTGTTTGACCGTTGACAATAGAATTTCTAATTCTTGCCGACTGGTACTGATACTGTTGGGACATAAGTTGGCATGTCCAGCTATTGGCCTGAAAAGAACGATTAAAACATAAGAAGGGAAAATTATCTTATAAGGCACAATCCTTTTACTTTGATGAGAAAATATTTAATGCTTCTAAAAGATTAAGGTAGGGTATAATGATAAATCCTTCAGACTCGTTTAAACGTCAAGTGCAGAGCTACTCGATACCCTAAATTCCCTTCTTCCCAGAATTAAAAGCTTCAATGAGTTTGCAATATAAATTAAGCTCAATTTGTAAAAACATCTACAGAAAATGTCAGTTTTTTGCTTAAATATCAATTACATAATTGCTTGTGGAAAGCTCAAATATCTGTTCGTGAAATGTGTCTTAATTAATGAAGCTCGAAAATTTGTAAACCGGAATTTTTTAATTTAATTATGGAGTTTTGAGAAAATAAATTAAAAACATGAAGTTATCGTGTTGCCGTCATTCAATCTCTATTTTGCCTAAAGCCTCTAAAGGGTTGTCGAAAGAGCAACCGAAATTCAAAAGCATCTTTTTGATATTGTGATTAAATTTAATTACAAGAAACTTACTGATGTTTTTTTTTGTCTAATTTGAGGTTTCATGTAACAGAAAATTAAATGTCGTCAGCAAAAAAATGCCTGATGAGGAATAATTTTATTTATCATTAAGAAAAAACTTTGCAATATTTCCAAAGGAAACAAAATGTGATGGTTCTTCTTGCTAAGGTAAGCCAACTGTGGTCTTCACCTATCCTCTTATGAAATCAATCCAATCCATCAATTTACTTTTCTCCCCCAATATCATTTTTTTCACAATAATATTGAACCCAATCTGAACAGTATGAAAAATTCAAAAGGAGAAAAATAGTATGTTTAGCTTTAGCAAGGAAATTCTGGCACTGAAAAAAGTTAATGAGGACATGAGTAGAGAACTAGATTAATTAAAAGGTCAATCCATAGTCAAGGATATTGAAAATAGAGCCAACAATATTGGCATTATGGGCATTAAAAGTAGTCTCGATGAAATTAAAAATAGACCAAGGGAAGTTGAAATGAGGGGAGAAAAAGTTCTAAAGTACATATGTAGATCCTAGATCCTACACTAAAATCTGAAGATGCAAAATTAACAAATTTATCTCCAACAAAAGACGATACACCAATATTAGTAACATTTCGGTCCGTTGAGGTAAAGCACCAAATTATACAGAAGAGAAAGCAAATTGGAAAAATTGATCCAGTTCTAAGGATTAATAAATAGTATGGAAGATATCGAGAAAATAAAGCAAGACGATTGATCACTGAAAATTATAAAAAGTTGGTAACGTAACAGTAGGATAGGTATGTCTTTTTTTTTCTTTTTTTTATGGACTTTAATTCTCTATTGGACGGCTATAATTCTGGTTGCAGTAGTATTAGAGTATGTGATACATTGGAAAACTTATTTTTTTTAAAACATTGGCGCATGATTTTAATTTGTTGCATGTTAACATCAGAAGCCTTAACAAGAATTTTGATAACCTTGTGCTCTTTCTTGAATCACTGAAGAGCCATTTCGATCTAATTGTGTTGTAGAGACCAATATTCTTCATAATAAAACGAACTTTCGTATCCTTCTTCGTCAGCCCGTGTCCATCCATTGTCGGATATAGGCCTCTTCCAGGTTTTTCCATGTCCCGCGATCTCTCGCTAATCTCATCCATTGTCCCCCTGCCACCGTTCTGACATCGTCCATCCATCTGTTTTTCGGTCGTCCCACATTTCTTGTTGTTCCTCCTGGTCTCCAGAGTGTCGTTTTCTGGGTCCATCTATCTGGGTCCTGTCACGCCACATGTCCGATCCATTGCCTACAGCTGTCGTAGGCTTTCCTCTTTAGTTGTATGGGTATCTTTTCATCTTTTAAAATAAAGTTCATGTTTCCGAATGTCACCTATGCCAAATGGATGCTGCGTTTGATTGCCGCCGTTTGGTTTTCTTTGCCCAGCTTGATTTTATGTCCTAAGTATATGTAATGTTCTACATTTTCTATGGTAACGTTGTCTATGGTGATGTTACATCAATTTTTGCTCATTATTTTGGTCTTGTTTAGGTTCATTTTTAAGCCTATTTTCTTGGATTGTTCGTTTAGCTCCTTTAGAATGTTGTTCAGTTCTTGAATGTTGGTGTTCATCTGCAAATCTGAGATGATTGAGGTATACTCCATCGATGTTTAGGCCCTTGTTTTCCCATTCCCATTAAAAACATTCTCCAGTGCTAGGGTAAATAGCTTGGGAGAGATGGTATAGGTTTTTTACGTTATATTTAGGATGACGTCAGAGAACAGGACTGACAATGTTGTCAATGCCTATTTATTTTCTTATAATTTACCAGAATGCCATAATGAATTATCAAGACCACTGACAGCTAAAAGTAACGAAATGAATCGACATGCGTTATTTATTTGAGAATGTTCATTTTTAAATCATGCAACATCGCGCGCCATTGCCAACCAGAAACATCTAAAATTCCCCTACTTTGAATGCGTTAAAAAGTACTTTTAGTTTTGTTATATTTGCAGCAGAAATTAACTAGATGTGACGTCATCCTAAATATAGCGTGAAAATCCTATATCCCCCTTCTGTCGTACTCCTTTGCCAAGTGATATTTTGTCTGTTTTAAGATCGTCGTCTATTTTTACGTGAAAGGTTGCCTTATCATAGATATTCTTAATAAGGGTAGAGTATCTCAAATCGATTCCTGCGTCCTCCATTGCCGTTAGAAAAGACTTTCAACGCCGTCAAAGGCTTGCTGGTAGTCTACAAACGCCATCACAGGGGTATGTTATATTCCGTTGTTTTCTTGATAACTGCTTTAATTGTTTGGAGGTGGTCTATAGTGCTAAAGCCCCTCCAAAAGCCTGCTTGTGCTACCGGTTGGTTGAAATCTAGCTTCGCAGTCAGTCGATTGTTGATAATTCTAGTGAAAAGGTGTGATAGCAGGCTTATTGGTCTATAGTTTTCTATATTTGAACGATCCCCTTTTTTGTATATTATCACATCACGACTTCGGCATTTTCCCATAGTTCCGGGATTTTTCAAACATTTGTTTAGCAGCATTCATATTGTTTCTGTTAGTGTTTTTCCACCCATCTTCGGCATTTCCGGTGTTATTTGATCTTCTCCCGAACTCTTGCCTTTTTTCATCTGTTGGAGAGCGTATTTAATTTCTGATGATGATATATCCGGCATGTCTTCTGAGCCTACGTTTGTAATGTGTTTAGGTGGTCCATTTGGGCTTGGTATAGTTGCTTGGTAGAGCTGTTCGTAGAATATTTGTATTTCCCTTCTAGTTTCCTGTTTGTCTGTGATAAGGATTCCTTGATTGTTTTTCATTTTTACAATTTTCTGTTTTCCTCTCTATTGGTTCGATCTTAGAACTCTCATGCCTTTATTTTTCTCTATAGTTTCCAGGATTTTGCTTGTTTTGTTTTCTCTTAGGTCTTCCTTTTTTTTTCTTTTTCGTTGTCTTACTTAGGGTATTATATTCTGGGGAGTCTGTGTCAGTTTTTCTTCTTTATCTTATTAGTTCTTTCGTCTCTGGTTTTAATTTGGTATCTGATCTCTGCCTTATCCTACTGCATGTTTTCTTTGTCGCTGTAATTATGCTATGTGATATTTCATTGAGGATTTCATCTATGTCCTTATCCTGGAGTGCCGGTGGCCTAAGCGTCTTCTCCAGTTCTTTTTGATAGGTTTCCTGATCGAGTTGTAGGGTATCTCTTGTAGGGAATGTATGGTGACTACTCTTTTCTATGTTGGTGTTTATTTCTATCTTGGCACGCACTGCTAAAAAACGGAAATAATTGAAAAAACATTCCTATTTTTCGCTTTGTAGATAAAACGTTGTACACCACACGTGCGTTTAAACATGACTACAAAAATAACCTAATAATTCTAATCAGCTCTGTTTCAGATCATCATTCCTCTTTGTTTAATGTTAACTTGGAAAATAAAGTGAATTCCCTTGCCGAACAAAAAAAAATAATAGGACTTTTGTAAAGTTGACTATGAACATTTTAAAAATTCACTTCAATTCCAAAATTGGGAAGACATTTTGTCATGTCAAAATCCCAATACCGCCTCCGAAATTTCCATGAATACCTTGAAAAAACATATAGGTACTTGCTGCAACAAATATGAAAACAACTTCAAACAAAAAATTTCGCCTCAAACCATGGATTACTGCAGGTTTCTTGCACTTGCTTCCATTAGAAACAGAGATCAATTACATAAACTCTGTGTTCGCAATCCATTAGATGAAACGGTTCGTATTAATTATAGAAATGACAGAAATATGTTAACCAAACTTATTAGGAATACGAAAGCTAACTATTATAAACAAAAATTGGAAGTTGCAAATGGTAATCCGAGAAAGACCTGGGAAGTAATAAAACAGGCTATACTAATGAATGTAACATAAAATCTAATAGCCCATGTATTAGGAATAGTAATAACAAAGAAGTTTATGATCAGAGGCAGGTAGTTAGCTAATGAATTGAATATGCTCTTTAGTTCTGTAGGTTAGCTAGCCAGTAAAATAAGTAAATAATCGGACAGCAGCAGTTTCCTTCCATGTTTTTGTTCTCTGTTAATGAGGAAGAAATTATTATTGCTGTGGCATTGCTGAAGCTACATGAACTGGAGGAAGAGCTGACAAGAATAAAGTGGGACATAGTAGGCTTGTCAAAAACTCGAAGAAAAACAGAAAATCGAATAAAATTGAACTCCGGTAACCTTATACTACAAAGGTAACGAATATTGAAGACAACTGTAATTTTGGAGTAGGATTTATTATAAATAAAGCGATAAGTTACCACGTCCAAACTCTCAAAGGGAGTTTCAGATCGGGTTGCTTATCTCATACTTAAAATGAAAAGAACATCGCTTAAAATTATTCAAGTGTACGTCCCCACTACAACATACGTTGACGACAGCATCGAAATATTCTATGAAGATATCTCAAAGGCTATGGAAGAACGTAAAACTCGCCTCACTCTAGTAATTG